TCTTGCCACATAGGACATGACTTTTTTTTCTTTCATTGGCCTTTGACTCAAAGCACTGACATTCTATTTTGTGACCCCTAGTTTGGCATTTTAACATCACCTTCAAATGAATTGCCCTGTATCCTCATATAGGTATTTGGCACAGTGCTAGGGACACAGAAGTCATAGGTTGACCTTTGTGTGCTGAACAGAATGAGGATCATGGGAGCTGAGGGTACTGGGGAATGCCACAACAGTAGTACTTACCAAAATCATTGGTACAGAAGGTATCCAGAACCTCCTTTGGGGAGCTTGCATCTTCCAACTCACAGTCCTGGCAGCTGGCTCGAGGAACTAATGGGGGAAGGGGAGAATGCCACTGACTATAAGCCATTGTTCTCAACAGTAAGGGAACTGTGTGCCAAACTGGTGAACTTGGGAGCCAGAGTTCTCTCTGTGCCCGGCAACTTAGCCATCCAACTCCTACACCCTCCAGGGCTGTGGAACGGGGGCTGCCAGAAGCCCACGCCCCAAGGTCTCACTGCCTTGTGCAGGGCTCAAGGGCCAGAGTAGTGGTGTTGGTTCCTTTTTTAGCTAAAGACTGAACCTTCTTCTGTTTGCTTCTTGTGATGCTAGGAGAATATCTCTGACTTAACTAGTTAGCTCTCCTTTCTCCTAGCTCTGGATTCCGAAATATGAGTGATCAAAGCATAGGAACCAGCAGTTCTCAAATGAAGAAATACAAGCAATCCAATCCAAGCCATCTAAAAAATGCTTCAGTTCACAAGAGAAATCAAAATTAAAACAATTTTGAGGTTTCACTTCACACCTATCAGAGTGTCAAATATTACAAAAGAGGGAGATGGCAGGGGCTGCTGGAGGAGCTGTGAAAGGATAGGGGCAGCATTAACCCACTAGTGATGGAGCTGTGAATGGTTCAGCTGTTCTGGTAAACAATTTGGAAGGACACTCAAAAAGTCACTGACCTGCTTGTACCCCTTTGGCCCAGCAGTAAAGCTGTTTGTTAGGTAGGTACCCCAAGGATGTTAAGGAGAGAGGGAAAAGACCCCTATTTAGGAATGTTTATTACAGAACTTTTTGTTGTAGGAAGAACTAGAAACAAAAGCGATGGCTATAAATTGGCGAATGGCTTAACAAATTGTGGTATATGAATATAATGGAATTTTGTTATGTCCTAAGAAATGATGAGTATGATGTATTCAAAGAAATATGGTAACATTGGCATGAACTGGTACAGGGAAGTGAGCAGAGGCAGAAGAACTATTGACATAGTGGCCATAGTAATAAAAGGGCAAACAGAAGCAGTAGCTGATGAGCACTTTGAACAGCTACTGCTGAGAAATAACCTCCATCTCTGGGAAGAGAGGCATTGGAGGAGAGGAACGGCATTGGGCTAGCCTTCTCAAGACGTGGCCAAGTTACTGACTAGTTACAAGGGAGGGTAGAGGCAGGGGAGTAGTGATTGCCAGGGAAAAAGAGCATCGCAACATTTTTTAATTTGCAAAAGAAAAAAATGCAAAAGGGGCATCACCTCTAGGATAATTTTGTTACTGTCTTATTAAATTCTCTCTCTGTACCGCCCCCCCCCCACACACATATACACACACACATTTTAAAGTGGAGTTTTGGGGTTTTTTTGTTTTTTGTTTTTTTAAGAGCCCTGGATCTAAACCCAGGGATGCTGAGTCAGGTTCCTGGCTCATCTGTTTATCTGTGTGACCTTAGACAAGTCACTTAACTTGTTTGGACTGAAGTTTCTTTTTCAAAGGAAATAGGATGGACTAGATAAGCTCTGGAGTCCCTTCTTGCTCTAAATCCTATGATGATATAAGTTATAAAACTAGCCTATGGGCTTCACCCCCACCCCCACATTTGAGCACTGAGGGAAGAACATTCTTCCTTTGTTATCATGACTGGCTCTGTGTGTATGTAGTAGTAGTAGTGGTGGTGGTAGTAGCAGTTATTCCAGAAGAGGCTGACTTACTTCTCCTGCTCACGCTCATCTCGTCAGTGATTGCAGAGATACACAGACTGTGATCTGCAGGGAAGTGATCACAATGGAGAATCTGGGGCCAGGGGTATCCGTAACAAGCCATGATGGGGGCACAACTGTCCCGAACACTCTCACAGAGACTTCGGCAGGGGTAGATGATCCTAAAGGAGGGAGACCATGGACATTCCTTAAGGAAGGGCAATGTACAAACAGGAGACTCGATAAGTTCTTTATCTTCAGTAGGAGGCGTGCCATGGGCTGAGGAATTTTTTTGGCTATAACCACTCATGAAACGAAGAGCTAAGGCAAGGAGGGCTTTCAGTCTGTATCAGCGATGAAATCATAGATTTTTGTGGTAGTGAAATAGTAGCTCACATTTCTATCCTGCTTTCAGGTTCTCAGAGCACTTTCCTCACAACAGACCTATGCACAAGAATCATTCTTTCCATTTTACAGAAGAATAAACAGGCTCGGAGAGGTTGTCACTTCTCAAAGGTCCCACAGCTAGTAGGTGGTAGAGCCAGGATCTGATGCCACATCTTGGACTTGAGGTCCAGCACTCTTTCTAATACCCCCATGCTATCTTGGTGCAAGTTTACTAAGGGTAAAAGAAATATCTTAAATGGCAACATCTTTCACAGCATAGCTCAGCATGGTGCCCTGTGCATAGTTGGTGAAAGGAAGTAAGGAAGGAATATTCATTAAGCACATACTACGTGTAAGGCACTGTGCTAAGCTCTTTACAAATATTATGTCATCTAATCCTCACAGCATTCCTGGGTGGTAGGTGCTACTATTATCTCCATTTTACAGGTAAGGAAACCTAGGCAGTCCGAGGCTAAGTGACTTGGCCAAGGTTTGGCTAGACGTTGTTGAAGGTCACATTTGAACTCAGGTCTTTCTGACTCCACATCCAGCTCTCTATCCATCATGCCATCTTGGTGCTCCAGAAACGTTTATCAGATAGGGCCTCCCCAAACCTTGGTAGAAAAGTAAACACTCATCCCATAAATACTGATGTTTCAATCACCCACCCACCTAGCTGGGTGTGGCTGCTACCTTTTCCCAGGTTTCAAATGGCCTTCCAAACTGGTTGGTGTGGTGTTACCCCGGAAACACGGGAAGCATAAAATACTGAAACAAGTTCTTCTTTGGATGGAGGAGCTCAGGAATGCCTGAAGCAAGGAGAGTGTTTCCCTGTACCTTCAGGTCTTCTAGGAAAGTGCCTTGGGAGCTCTGCTCTTCAGCCTTTCGCTTGGTATTTCCAGTCCCAAATGCTATCTCCAGGAAGCCGTGAAGGCTTGCTTTACTGTTACCCCCTCCCCCACACCAGGCCTTACACAGCACTGGGAAGTGGATCTCTTATCCTTTTCTCACTTACCAAGTATCATTGTATATTAAACTATCCACTAGACTTTAAGCTCTATGTGGGTGGGGACATTATCTTAGCTAAACTTTGAAAATTCTCCAGTGCCTAGCACAGCATACAGCTTGAGTTTTAATATTTGTCTAACTAAATGAAATTAATTACAATGAATACCTGATTATCAATTGGGAAAACACTTCTCCGAGAAATTGCTTTTTTCCTCCCTTTAGTGCCAAGTGGCCTGGGGGTTAACCTGCTTTGTCATTAGCCCTCAAGATGCTCTTTGGTGCTTCTATTCAGAACCCATTGGTGTTCTCTATCCCTAAATCACAGCTATGGGAAAAGGAGGAAAATGGGGGCCTCTTGTTGGCACCATCCTCATTGTGATCCTCATCACTATTCAAGAACATCAAGTAAGATGTTCTTGTTGGCACCAAAATATTATGTCTATATGTCACTTTCTGGAAATAAGGGTAATTTAAGAAGTGTCTTGGAGTAAGGGTCCATTTATTTCCTGAAAGGGAAGTGCCACATAAGTAGTCTGAGTGGGCTATTTACAGCAGAAGAGCAAAAGGGAGATCAGACCTTGGCCTCCTATCCAATTCTTCTGACTACTCAGAGCCGTAACTAACAAGTTATCCGAAGTGGTGCTGTGCCTTTTACAGCAACAGAAGACCTTAAGAAGGAACAGCAAGGCTGAAAGAGACCTGCTTCAAGACAGGGAAAACATGAATAGCAAAATGGGAACCTGACTGTTGAATCAGTTGGATGCTTTCTCATTTCTGAGTGGAATGTAATCACCTAGTGGAAGTGGGAAGGAGGAGGCGCTTTTCTCATAGTTGGAGCTGGTCTGTTGCCTACAGTGATTGCCACCTCATCTAAAGTAGGGCACTCCACAGTGGTGGCTTCTTTGCTGGCAGCACATGATCTGAAATACCCATCTGTGTTTTTATAGTAGCCTCAATAAGGCTCATCAAACACACAAACTCAGCAGCTGATGGAGAAGTGCAGCCCCAGCTGACCCACCTCAAGAGAGAGCCAGAGAACATGGGTGAGATAGTGCTGCATGTCATTAGCTACCCTGTGGGGAGATTTTCCCTGGAAATAGAGTTTAAAGTCTTACCTGTCCAGGCAAATCGGTGCAAAGAGTGAGCAGAGAAAGATTCGGGCATCTGGGTGACATTCCCTGGCCAGCAGCGGCAGCCAGCTGGAGGACTGCTGGATCACTTCAGCCATGGTTTCATGTTCCAGCAGGTTGGGGATTCTCATTTCAGAATAGCCAATATCATAGCATAAGGCCATGCTTCTTGGAATGGACGTGCACCGAGAGGAGCTCCTAGGAAAATCTGCCCCCGCCCTTACACAGCAACAGTCCCACAGACCTACCAAGGCAAGCAGCAGCCTCTCTGCGGACCCTCTGGCCAGCATCCTGCCCCTTTAACTTAGCCTTCAGGTGGGCAGATGCTCCACAGGAGCAGTGGCTTCTTTTTGGAGGAAAGCTTTTTTATATGTGATCCTCTCCATAGGCTCAGTGGCCAGCCCCTTCATTATGAGCCCACTGTTTTTAAAGACAACACAAATGAGGTGTTTACCTAGAGTCTTTGGCTTTCTAATTGGGGGCCTGGGCTCAGCTCAGCAGGTATGTTAATGAGGGCAGCCCAGGGCTTCCTTATTCGCACCCCGGTAGGTAGTCTGTAGATCAGACTTGTTTGCATTCGATTAGGTCGCTACTGGATGCCGCTATTCAAACTCTGCTCCTTCAGGGAGGCCCCTGGATTAGGCATCTGTTAAACCCTTTAACAGTTGTTTCTTTCTCTCTCTCTCTCTCTCTCTCTCTCTCTCTCTTTCTTTCTTTGTTGTGTAAAGGCAATCAGGTGTTTGACCAAGTCAATTAGGTCCTATTGATTTAGCCCTGCTACTCCTTAAGCAGGCTCCCAAACCCCAGTAACCTTTCAGGCATTCTGCATAGGCTTAGATTGGAGGTGTATTTACAGGCTTGGATGTTGTTTACACAAAGAATTTGCCTGGTTCTTTTGGGTTGTGCCTGGTTTGGGTCATGTATCCTGTCTTCTTGATTCTTCATTATAATCGTAGTTATGCTGTATACAAACAGTATACAACTTCTCTATCCTTTATCTTTAGTCAGTTTTTCCTGTTGTCATCAGTGAGAGATGTAGGTTGCTTAGTGGACAGAGAGATAGGGTGAGTGGGGGATGGACTCAAGGGGACATATTGAAGGAGTTGGATAAGTTGTCTGCACAACCCAGAAATATTTATTGCAGTATCTTATGTAACATGAAAGAGCGGCTAGGTGGCACAATGGATAGAGCACTGGGCTTGGAATTGGGAAGAATCAAATGAGTTTAAAATCTGGTGTCAGACACTTATTGTGTGATCCTGGGCAAGTCACTTAACCCTGTTTGCCTCAGTTTCCTCATCTGTAAAATGAGCTAGAGAAGGAAATGGCAAACCCCTTCAGTATCTTTGCCAAGAAAACACCAAATGGGGTCACAAAGAGTTGGACACAACTGAAAAATGACTGAACAACAAGTAATGTAACATGAACCGGGTTCTGTAGTTGACCCACATCGGACTCATCTAGAAGGATAGGACTTCCATCATACTATCATGGCAGTGTCTATTCAGTGACAGCAGAAGATCATCAGATGGGCTAGAGCTGGGCATTGAGCAAAAATGGAAACCTTGTTTTGAGGCCACTTCTCCCATAGGCTCGTGATCAGATTTCTTCTATGAGGTATTTAAATTGATAAAAAAAAAAAAACAACAAAAAACTACCTAGTCTAGGGGCTATATTTCCAGGCCCTGGCACCAATGCCAACTACCAGAAACCTGAGTGACCATCCAAGCCAATGTCCAAAGGTCAAAGTCCCAAACAAAACCTGTTCTTGGTAACTGCAGAAGCCTAGCAACTCACAGGGTTCAAAATGAGTGGATGGATAGGGATGTACTTAATGATTGCTATTAAAGGGCTTTCTTAGTTACACAAGGAAACTTGCTTCATTATAACCTGAGCTAAGTGAAGACCCTGGGGTAACCTGAGCTAAGTGAAGGCCCTGGGGCACCCTGGCTGAGACAAGGCTGTGGGAGTCACCCTGGCACAACCCTGCCCTGACCTTGGGTGGTTGTGTGGCTCCTCCTGCACCAATGATAGCCTCTTACGTGATCTCTATAGACCGTGAGTTCCTTAGGGCGTGTGATGTACTATATACCGTGTAAGATTCTAGTAGAGTCTAATCACTAAAGAGGGTGTGAGGTTACTGCTCCTCTGGCCTTTCCCAGACTGGAAGCTCACTTACTATAAATACTGCCCTCAAGGAGGCGTCTGAAATCTGAACTCTTGGTTTTCTACAGAGAAACTGTCAGCCCCACAGGTCACTGTATCATCAGAAAAATGTCTCCTTGGGACCTGCCTGATATTAACCCTTTGTCATGCCCTTTGGTGAGGAAAGAAAGGAGTTAGAAGCAAGTTCTTTTATAATTGCAATAATAATTTACAAGCTAATGTACTCTAAAGACACAGCCTAGCTTTCCCCAGCTTTGGTTTTTCTCTCAGGTGCCATTGATGGGTGCTTTACTTTTAATCAGTAACCTGGCCATCGGTCCTTTCCTCTTCTTCCTGGCAGAAATTCCCAACTTTCTAAGTGAGGAAGAATGCAAGCTGATCATCCACCTGGCCCAGCTGAAAGGGCTGCAGAAGAGCCAGACGCTGCCCACAGACAACTATGAAGAAGCCATGGAAATGATTGAAGTCAGCCCGATGGACGTCTTCAATCTGCTGGACCATAACCAGGATGGGCAGCTGCAGCTCAAGGAGGTAGAGGAAGGGTGGCAGACTGGGGAAGCATTTCCTCCGAGAGGAGGGAACTTTGTCTGGCGCCTGCTCCCGCACAGTCCTCAGGGCCAGCTGCCTGTATGGCCTCCTGTGCAGCATAGGGTCAGTGAGTAGTGTTACTGTACAGTCTGCTCAACTGGCTCCTTACCCTTTCCAGAAAAGTTTCTCAGAGGGTAAAGCTACCCCCCTCCCCAGAGCAACAGCTGTGCCTCAGCTCAGAAACACGTCCAAGTCCAGATCCCCATAGCAATCCCCTCCCTCCTGTACTTGGTCCTTCCTTTGTCCTTCGGCATGGGAGGACCTGCGCTTTGGGTTTTACTGCCTAATTTTGTTAAGTGCCGGTCTCCCCCCTGCAGGGCCTGGATCTTCCAATTATGTATCCCCTAAGAATCTTTTTGTTTCCCTGGTCTGGCCCCTCAGAAGGAGGTGGGCCTTCCCACACAGGGACAGCAAAGGTGGGGAGGGGTGGTGGAGAGAAATGTGAGGCTCCCTCGAGGTCCTCTCCTATCCTGTCAGGTCAAGAATCTGGCCTTGCTATACCCTTCAGAAAGCCAACATTGGGTATTCTTCTTGGATTACCAGTACGGGGATTATCCACTTTTGTTTATGGACTAAACAATGAACATTGTAAATGCCAAGCTGGCTTACTGTGTAAGAAGAGCTCTGGATTTGGAGTTGAAATGTGGTTTTGTTACTATATGAACCTGGTGACCCTGAGCAAGTCCGTTTCCCTCCAGAACTTCAGTTGTTTTATCTGTAAAATGAGGAGGCTAGAGTGAGATGATACCTCGAGCCCCTCAGAGCACTAGTGCTTATCTTGTTCCTGACAAAGGATTTTCCTTAAGATTCCTTTAAATGGCCAGCTGTCCTGGAGGACTGAATGTCTAGAATTCAATGACAAAAACAATCTTAAATATTTCAGCAATGTGTCTGTGGTGTAACAGGAGGCCCACCTTTGGAGCATATCTGTGGTATAAGATAGCTGGTATACCAATCTTGAAGGATATGAGCACAGCAACTGGAGTCAGGAAGACTCAAGTTCAAATCCTGCCTCCGACACTTACTAGAGGTGTGGGCAAGTCACTTCTGTGCCTCAGTTTTCTCATCTGTAAAATAGGTTGTTTGGGTCTGGTGAGTTAATATCTATAAAGCACTTTGCAAATCTTAAGGCATATATAAATACTATTATTCAGAATATAAATATAAGTTTTCCTTGGGGCATCACATTTTCTCTTCAACAAATTTCAATTCAACAAATATTTCTTAAGCCCTCACTCTGTAAAAGGCACTGTGCTACGCACTAGGGATCAGGAGATAAAAGATAAAGTTCTGCCTCAAGGAACTCCTAATTTACTATAGGATATAAAGTAGAATGTGATCTACTTTATAAAGAGGTACAGATAAAGTGCTTTAGGAAAAATCTCAGAGTGAGAGAACACTTTCAGCTGGTTGGGGATGGAGAGACAAGTCTAGGAAGTCTTCTTGGAGGAAGTGGTACCTGGCTGACCTATAAGGAAAAGAAGGATTTCTACAGTTGGGATGAGGGGGGAGGGAAGCATGTGGGGGGAAGGATTGTCTGTACAAATATAGAGAGGCCAGAGTGGACAAAATAAGATCAGAGAACCGGCTGATGGTTTGTAACTGAGAATTGCACATCCTCTTGATCCTGGGAACCTGTTTGGGTTCCATCCAGGTGACACAAATCATGTTTGTCATTTCAGGTGTTGACCCATACCCGTTTGGGGAATGGGAGGTGGATGACCCCTGAGAACATCCGGGAGATGTACACTGCGGTCAAGGCCGATCCCGATGGTGATGGTGAGTTTGGAAAGTTCTAAGGACATAGACCAGAAACAGGGTTTGTGCTCATTCCAGTTGCCCAAGGGGGAAAGTCCTCCCCAGACCACCAGCCTCAGCCATTTTGGACAGGTTGTGTGAAGGTCCCCAGAGAGGTAGGGCTCTTCCAGCGTGCCTTTCCCCTTCATTCAAGCTTCCAGCCTAGAGGAGTATCACTAACTGGGGCCATGTTGAAGAAGGAGCTGTTGAGGATTGGGGGTTTGTGGTGATGTACCCAGGAGTACCTGGTGATGCCCTCTGCCTCTCAGTGTCATCCAGGCAGAGAGGACTGGAGGTCAGAACTTGCTTTCTTGGTTAGGAACCTTTAAGAGGTGGGCTGGTTTTAGGTGTAAAGGGTACAGCTGCTTAGAGATGAATAAAAAAACAAAACTTTATTAAGTGCTTACTCTGTGCCAGGCTTGTGCCTCAACCTCAGCAAATGTCAGAATGTATTTATTCATAAAAATCGGAGGTTTGATTGGCATATGGAAGTGTGAGACAACAGAAGCAGCTGGAGGGAGGACTCAAATTGAGATGAAGCCTGGGCCATTGGAGGGATGTTCGCTGGACCAGTTGTATGTGCCATGATCACTAAATATTGCCTCTGGAGGTTCCCTTGAAAGGAATGGGGCTTTGAGTTCTGGGCAGTCATTTAAGGTGGCCAAAGAATGGGGCTTGTGTTGCTCGATGTTCCCCATGTTCCCAGAGGTTGTGCTGATTCCAGTCCCATTCCCTCTTTGGGAGAAAGCACTAATCCAGGCTTCCATTGGCATTCGACTGAGGTCTAAAAATCCAGTCATCCTCCTTCCTTTTCATGAGGGTCACATCTCTGGGAACCTATTGAGATGATACAGCCTTTAGCCCTCTCCATGAGGGACTCTGATTTGTTGCAAGATATGCCAAGCCCTTGGGAGCTGGGGCCTTTCTTTTTTCTTCCTTGTCTTTTTCAACTTCCTCCTATCCTTATGTGTGGAAAAGCCTGAATGTGTAATGGTCCGTTTCCTAACATTTCCAACAGATATTTCTTAAGTATCTATTTGGAGTTTTCAGGATGAATTATAAATAACTTAACATCCACTATTGCATGATAAATGAGTTTCATAGTAGCAAAGTGTTGCCTGAGGTCCAAGAAGAAATGATATTCCCAATAGGGAGAGGAAGGAGAGCAGATCAAGCAAGGCCCACTCCTGAAGGAGGGACATGAGTTGGGGTTTAAAAGATGAATAGTAATTCATCGGGTAAAGAGGGAAAGGGAAAAATACCAATGTAGAGATCAGGGGAAACACAAGGGTTGTTTGGGGAAGTGAGAGTAGTGTGGGGTTATAGAGACAAGCAATCGTATGAGAAAGGTTGGAAAGGGAAGGTAGTGACAGATTGTGGAGGGCCTCGTATTCTTGGGAGTGAGGATTCTATTGCTTCAGATTTTGGGGGGAGCACCGGGAAAGGCCTTGGTGGGGACAAGGTAGAGGAAAGAGGTGTACAGGGCAGGGGGACGTCACTGGAGGAGAGACTGAAGTCTGTATCCTGGCACAGGAAAGTCACTGAGCATCCTGTCTGCCCATGCCAGCTGCTGGTGTTGTCAGTGCTAAGAGCTGAGCAGGCTGTCTGTGGTGGTGTACTACCACTCAGGAATAACCAGAAGAGTACCTTTGTTGAAATTTTCATCACTGGACTTGGTCTCTTGGCCTCACCTCACTTTGGATGCAGTTGTCACCCATTATTGTCAGTGTGTGACTGCAGGGTTCAGATGTGAGCAGGCTAGGTAACTTCCAACATCTGAGACACCCTGGGCAGGGTTCAGAGGACTGCATCATCAGATGACAGTCCTCTTTTAGTCCTGATACCTAAGTAAGACTGGGAGCCTTACCATGACATGCTGATAAGCAATGCTGGCTGTTCCCCAGGGGTACAGAGGCTCAGCCAGGGTATGGGCTTCTAAGAACCTCCCTCTGCCTGTAGGTTTTCACTTCCCTCATGGCCTGGGGTGACCAAGACCCAAGACACTCAGGGAAATATTTGTCTTAGTAGACTTTCACAAGCTAATCTGATTATAGAAAAGTGGTTTTATTTCTTTGGGCTATGAGGGTTTTTGGTTTTTTTTTTTTGTCTTCCCCTTTGAAGCAAGGGAGATGGAGTTATGGCAGAAACACTAAACTCAGACATTTAAATTAGTCCCAGATGTGATTGCAACCTATTTAATTTCTGCTAAAAATAAAGCAAACAAAGAAGTGAGAAACCTCAGAAAAATATCTTATTTGGGTGATTTTTCCTCCCAAGAAAACCTGCTCTCTGAAGTGGCTGCAGTTGGCCAGGTAGTACTAAGGATGGTGTCTCCAGCATGGGTGGGATTTCCAGTAGGTACTAACACTTGTGGATTCCTATTTGGCCCCCTGGGAGAGGTGGAAGCCTAGGGTGGGCAGCCCTGATCGGCCATGACATCTGGTCCTCTTTGTTTGGATGCTCAGCTGTCACACTCAGCCCTTCGAAAGCATGCTAGGCCCTTCTTTCAGGTCAGGCTGGCTATTAGACACAGATTCCTTCTCTGAAAAGGTCATTCTAAGTAAGAGGAATGTATGTTTTACCCAGCAACCTCCCCTTGTCCTAGTGACCTATAATCATCTCTCTTCATTGGGGTAATTTTTTTTAGGACAAAAGGTTATTTAGGCTGTGGATTCAGAGGTTATTGCACCCAGTACATGCATGCTGCTAGAGTAGAGGGAGATTTACAAATCCCAGAATTTTAAAGTTGGAAGGGACCTTGTAGGTTATCTGGTACAACCATCTACTCTGCAAAAATTCCTTTCATTCTTTACTTGACAGGTGGTCATTCAGCTTCTACTTAAACACCTGCAATGTTGGGGAATTCATTATCTCATCAGGCAATCTGTTCCACTATTGACCAGCTTTGTTAGAAAGTTGTTGTATTGGGGCAGCTAGGTGACACAGTGGATAGAATACCAGCCCTGGATTCAGGAGGACCTGAGTTCAAGTGTGACCTCACACACATAACACTTACTAGCTATGTAACCCTGGGCAAGTCACTTAACCCCTATTGCCCCTCCCCCTCAAAAAAAAAGAAAGTTGTGGGTTTTTTTGTTTTGTTTTTTTTAGCTGGGCAATGGGGTTAAGTGACTTGCCCAGGGTCACACAGCTAGTAAATGTTATGTGTCTGAGGCCGGATTTGAACTCAGGTTCTCCTGACTTCAGGGCCAGTGCTCTATCCACTATGCCACCTAGCTGTCCCTAAAAGAAAGTTGTTATGTTCAGAAAGGTATATGTTATTCATTCCTTATATTAAGCCAAAATCTGCCTCCATGTACATTTCCCCCCATTGGTCCCAGTTCTGCTCTCTGGAGCCCCACAGAATGTTTCCTCTCACCTCCATAGGGCAGCCCTTCAAATACTTGAAGATGGAAATCATGTATTCCTGAAGTTTTCTCTAAGCTAAACATTGCCTGTAAGACATGGTGTAGCATCCTCTTACCATCCTTGGCCACCCTATTCTGAAGATGCCCTATCTTGGCCATATCTCTCCTAAAATGTGGTGCCTAGAGTTTACCATGTTCCAGCTGTAGTTTGATCTCAGTCAGGCAACACGTCACTTACTGTGTGCCAGGCACCATGCTAAGCACTGGGGCTCCAAAGAGACGCCCAAACCAGATAGCCTTGGATCCAGGGGATGGCCCAATGTGTGTGGTGAGGATATCCCCAACATCCTGTAGTACCAACAAAGGTCTCTTCTCTTTGCTCTCCACAGGTGTGCTGAGTTTGGAGGAGTTTAAGCAGTTAAACCTCAAGGACTTCCACAAGTACATGGGGAGTCAGAAGGTGAAGGTGAGCGACCTGGTGCGAAACAGCCAGCACACTTGGCTGTACCAGGGCGAGGGCGCCCATCAGGTCATGAGATCCATCCGGCAGAGGTGAGGCCTGAGGACAGCTGCACGCTCCTGCGGGCAGAGTGGGAGAGGAAGCCTTGTGTGTGGCAGAGAGAAGGAAGATACCAGTAGAGGCAGAAGGCACTTGGCTTAGCATTTCACTGATCCTGATGCCTGGCTTCCTGGTGCTCAAAGTGGGGCTAGGAACATAGTCGAGCATGATTGTTGGCCTAGGTGCTGTATCCCTGCCACCCCCTACCCCGTTCAGACCAGGATAATCTTGTGAGTGGGCATGACTCTTACTGCTGCAGGAGAAGGAGTCTAAGGCAGGCTTGTCTGAGAAGCTGTCTGCCAGGATAGAGAAGGAGGGTTCTGCTTGGTTCCTTCAAAAGAAAGGAGTTGCTGCTTTCTGAAGTTCTGTGGTGAGACATGCTTGTGAACATTTAATGGAAAGGCGTCTGCCTTTGAAAAGAATGATAATGCACTTTTTTATAGTGTAACACTTTGCAAACATCTTAGTTGAGCAAAGAACCTTCCTCACAACAACCGTGTGAGGTAGGTAAAGCAAATATTTATATCCCTATTTGACAGATGAGGAAACTGAGAGGATAAATGATCTACCCAGGATCACCCAACTAGTCTGGGGCTCACGGGTCCCAAGTCTACCACCAAGCTTCTGGAACAAGGCTTTTTGTGGAGAGACTAATTAGAAACCCAGGAGTATCTATTTAAGAGGGGAAACTGCCATGCCCCCCTCCCAAGCCCCTGGCCACATGCTGAACTGCGAATGGTTATAGGATTCTCAGAATAGGGCGGGGGACTTAGGGCACCCAGGGCTGCCTCCCAGGAGGGATTCCTTCCTGAGCAGCTTCATCTCTATAAGCCCACCCTTGGAAAGAGGTGCTATGCACACTTAGTCTGTGCATTGGGCTGGGAAGGGAGGAGGGCCTTGCTCTTGCTCATAGCAGCTCTGGCTCTGAACAATTGGGGCCAGTATGGGCCTGTGTGTGGACTCTTGGTAAACCCAAGCATAGCACAACAAGAGACGTGTTACTAGCTGCGGCTGAGCCCCTTCGGTACATGGGGGGGGGAGCGGCTGGCTTGGGCTATGTGTCAAAGATCCTCCTCCCTGGGACCTAACTTTGTATTTAAGTAGACTGGAGGAAGAGGAGGAAATTTTGGGAAGGTGAGGAATGTATTAAATTGATTTAGCAAGCTCTACTTAATGAGACATTAAATGGGACGTTTGTTAAAATTGAGTTGTAGTGAATTGAAAGACAGGTGATAAGTGTTAAATTAAAACAAATAAACTTTAATTAGGGGCTAACTAGATACAGTTGGAATTAAAAAGGGTTCGACTGTTTGTTTTCAGTTAATTAGCAGTAAGGATCTCTTCTGGTGGACTTTCCCCTGCCCTTTCCTGGTGTGACTGGCTAGTTTAGAAGTGGAAGGATGGTGCTTCCTTAGCTCTGTAGAGAAGTTCTCCAGATGGACTGATTGGTCTGAGAGCAAGGGCCAATCTTAATGGAAATCTAATCTCACTCCTTCCCACTGAGCTGTCCTCTCTGTTCTGGTGCGATTTGGAATGTAATCTACGGAGGGAGTTGCCATTAACCCAAATTCATTCCAGTTTGAAGTTGGGCTGGGGTGGGGGGCGCGCTATCTATCTTAAGAGATTCCTAGCTCCTGGATTCCTGATCATTTTGAGGATCTTCTATCTCCCAGCATATGGGATCTTTTGTACTGGGGGCTGGGAATGACCCAAGACTGGAGACCACCTGGGGCTTCAGTCCCACTAGACATGATGGGCATGGTTTGTCTTGGTCAAATTATTTTCTGTTATGTGAATAAATCTTTTGTTGGATTTCCCCCATGGGGAACATGGAAGGGGCATGATGCACAGAGTATGTGTGTCAGGATATCTTGCCTGCCTTCCAAGGATGGCCAGCCTGGCTCTAAGGCAGCTCTAAATTTAGAGCTATAAGGGTCTTCCCAGGCCGTCTAACCCGATAAAGTCCCTAGAGGTGAGGAGACTTGCCCAAGGTCACCTCTGGAGGAAGTGGTGCATCCCTCTGTGCCATTTCCGTGACTCCTCAGGGTATACCAGTTTTGGAAAGGCTTGGCTGGGGAGGGCGAGAAGGCCCATCTAGAAATGTTCCTCTCTAAAGGCAGCATACCCACCCTACAGGTATTAGCCTGTCAGCCCAACCCTGGGAGAGCCCTGAGGGATGCACATCTCTCCTCCTGGGCATTTTCCTGGGCGCTGTTGAAGGAGGTCAGGTCTCCACGGAGACAGCACTGCACTCTGCTCTACTGTGCTTTCTCTGCCAGGGTGCTCCGTCTCACTCGTCTGCCCAGAGAGATTGTGGAACACAGTGAGCCTATGCAGGTGGTCCGGTATGATCAGGGTGGACACTACCACGCCCACATGGACAGTGGGCCTGTGTTCCCAGAAACAGCTTGCAGCCATACAAAACTCATCGCTAATGAAACGTCACCCTTTGAAACTTCCTGTCGGTAAGGACCTCCCCTTAGCCTTGCAGCATAATAGAAAGATGGTATACTGGGAGGGAGGAAAAACTGGGCTTTAGTCTCCACTGTGCTACTAACCAGCCGGGTGATCTGGAACAAATCATCCTCTCGGAGTTTCAGTTTCCTCATCTGAAAAATGGGGGGATTGGACTTGTTGATCTCTGAGATCCCATCCAGCTCTAAGATTCTTTGAATCTCTATGACTAGGTTTGGGAATGAGGGTGTGGTAAGCTGCACAAAGTAGGAATTCAGATGCTGTCCATTATAGAGTCCAGCTGTCCGCCTTCCATTCTGGTGCTGACTGATTCTTAACAATCCTCCTCTTTTGTTCCTGAGTCAATGACTCTCCAGCATATGCTGCCCAGCATTCATCTCTGACTTCTTCCTTCCCATTTCACCCCTGTCAATGGTTTTAGCCCCTCTTTTACAGAGAAGATTTAGCTCGTCTGGACTAAGTTCCCTCATAATATACTCATCTTCATCTCAGTCTCTGATTTTTCATTCTTTTCAGCTCTCCCTTCCTCCCCCATCTCCTCTGTGTTCTTCCTCTCATAGTTATCTTTTCCCTTTCTTAATTTCTTTTTAATGGGTTCCTTTTCTTCTGCCTTCAAACATACCAGTTTTCATTAAAATGAAAAGGACACATATATTATATATACATATACTTACACACACACATACATACATACATACATACATACACACCCCTCACTTGGCCCTTATAACCCATCTAGCCACTGGTCTGTCTCTCCTTCCCTTTGCTTTAAAACTCAAATGTAAGGTCTTTATATGCTACTCACTTATTCCCTTTTTAACCCCTTGCCATCTGATTCTCATATCTATGATTCTACTGTAATCTGTCTCAGAGGTCAATAATTATTTCTTCCTTGCAAAATCCTTTTCTCAGTCTTCATTTTCAGAGACCTTTCTGCAGCACCTGATACTACCAAACTTCTGCTTCCTTAAATCTCCTAATTTTTTTTTTTTTGGTGAGGCAATTGGGGTTAAGTGACTTGCCCAGAGTCACAGAGTTAGTGAGTGTCAGCTGTCTGATCTGACGCTGGATTTGAACTCAGGTCCTCCTGACTCCAGGGCCAGTGCTCTATTCACTGTACCACCTAGCTGCCCCTCCTAATTTTCTGAAGTCTTCTCTGGTCCATTTGTTTACCCTTTTCCCCCATCATGATCCTAAATTTAAATAGATTGCTTGGTCAGTTTGAAAAGAAAAAGAGATACCTCCCTCTTTTCTTGAAGAAGACCAGGGGTGTAGAATATTGCATATAGCAGACTCTTTCCATAGGTTGTGATTAGTTTTGCTGAGCTGTCTTTTACTTTCTTTATTATAAGGGATGGCTGTCTGGGAGGAGGTGAAAGGAAAGATGCAGTTGAAGATGTAGATGATGGATATCAACAAAAATGTATTTTTAAAAGAAAAATTAGAATTTCTAGAATATTCGATTCTCAAGATCTTATTTCCTTTTTCTTCCCTCCTTCCTTAACTTAAGAAAAGGAGAGCAGTTGAGTAACCTGAGGCTGAAGCTGGAGGAATTTGGATTAATTTAACTGAAACAGTTCAGTGTCATGCAGTGAGACCTCCACTGGTCTTCCTATTCTCCAAGCTAAGTATTTCTCCTAGTTACACCCATAGGTGTCCTTGACAGAAGACAAGAATTCTGAAGTTCTGTCCTTGGTTCCCTTTGCTGTTGAACTCATCTGGTCTCAGGGCTACAACTTTCCCTTCTAAGGGAATGATTCTTCAGCCTTGGCCTCTCAAATCTGACATCGTCCAGTCTCGTATTTCCAGTTGTTTTAAGGAGATCTTCACCTTTTACAAGATTGATTTGTGTTAATAGTGGCAGGGGTAACCCTGAGCGTTTTTCCCTACTAAAGTGTCTATGGGCCTTCAGAACCGAACCTCTGGAAGTGGCCGTTAAGTTGCTTCTTTACTTCTGTATTCTCTTAGCCTTTGTGATGGTTGTTGTTCAGTCATTTTCCAGTGTCTGACTTTCTGTGACACCATTTGGCTTTTGTTGTTGTTGTTGTTGTTGTTTTTGGCAAAAATGCTGGAATGGTTTGCCACTTGCTTCTCCAGCTCATTTCCAAATGAAGAAACTGAGGCAAACAGGGTGCCATGGGTCACACAGCTAGTAAGTGTCTGAGATCATATTTGAACTCTGATCTTCCTGACTCCAGGCTGAGTGCTCTATCCATTGCACCACCTAGGTCTGCCCCTCCTTACCTTTTAGAGAAGAAGTTCCCAAACTTATTTGACCTACTGCCCCCTTTAAAAAAATTTCTCAGTCCCCCCCCCCCCCCGCAGGAAATCTACTTTCTTTAACCCTTTGACGGATTTTTAAAATTTTGCATCCTTTCAAAAAAAATAATTTATTAAAAAAAATGACACATCTTAAATTTAATAATTTATTGTAAATTTGGGAACCTCTGAGTCTTGTAATATTATCCCTCTGGTGCCTAGTACAGCACAGACCAGACAAATAAGGGTAGCTGACTAGTCCTATCCTTATTCCTGCTGAAGTTAATGGTGTATTTGTAGAATGCAGGTCTAGAATGGCCTTCTAAGTTCATCTAGTTTAATCCCTCCCAGAGTAGAAGACCTTCCTACAACCTTCCTACAGGAGGACATCTAACTGCAGCTAGAATTCCAGGTGAGGGAATTCTACTAATGCTGATCAATAAATGTTAGGCAACTTATTTCAGAGAGTTGCCTGGGATGTTGAGAAATGATGTGACTTACGCAGGGTCATCATTCTGGCCACCATTTCTCAGAGGTGGAATTTGAACCTGGATGATATTGACTCTCTGGCCAGTTCTCCATCCGGTGTGCTTACTATGCCTCTAGGTCTTGCATAGAGTAGGTTCTCAATATACTTTGGTTAAATGGGATATTTACCTTTGGGCTGCTTTTAATTATTAGGAAGTTCTTCTTATCAAGCTGAGATCTGTCACTTTGCAACTTCTCCTTAGTTTTTGCCCTTTTAGGCCAAGCAAAACAGAGTCTAATCCTTTTTTCCCCACATGATTGCCTTTCGGATATTGGAAGACAGGAATCTATCTTTTATCTATTCTTTCCCCTACCTCTGCCCCATTCCCCACAGCTTTTTTTTTCCTTTATGAAGCTCAACCTCCCCAATTTCTTTAACCAGTACTCCTATAGCATGGTTTTCATACCCTTCACCATCCCACTTGCCTTTTTTTGGTTACAGCTCCAAATGGTTAATGTCCTCCTAAAATGTGACAACTAGAATCGATCATCAAATTCTGGATATGGTCTTCCCTGGCTCAGACAACAGGACTTGAACCTCACTTGTTCTGTACCCTGTGCCTTAATTAATGAAATAAGCAGCCGGAAGGCATAGCTTGGGGTGGGAGTGAAGACTAACAATTTGCCACCCTCATTTTGCACCGTTTCTTGCATACTGTGAGGCCTTCGATTTTGACTCTGAGATTCTAACTGCTGTCTTTCCTCTTTCTGCCTTATAGCTATGTGACTGTGCTGTTTTACCTGAACAATGTCACTGGTGGTGGGGAGACAACCTTCCCTGTGGCAGATAACAGGACCTATGATGAGCTGGTAAGGGAATAAGTGTCGTAGCCCAATTGGTTCCCCTTGTTGTGCATACTTTTGCCAGCATGGCCCCCTCTGAAATTGACTGGATGATCTCCAGAGAGAGTGTGAAGGCCATGGTCAACTTGACCTGCAGAACTTGAAGAAGAGGAATGGCAACTGACCCAGGTAGAAGCCTTTTGCAGTGTGACCTGGGTCAGGGCTTCAGCTGATAAGTCCTCCTCTGTTTCTTCCTGTGTAGCTTCCCGGAATGGCCGGAACTGGCTTTTTCTAATGACTTGGGGGTAGGGAAGAGTCATTGTGCTTTTAGTGATGAGTTTTCCAGCATTGATCCTTCAGGCTCTGCCATTAGGTGAAACAGTTCACAGTCTGTCTTGGGAACTAAAGCAGGTGGTATTGGGGATCTATCCAAATCTGGCTTTCTGCTAGGCTCAGGGGTGGAGAAATTTGACAAGAGGTAGGAGTTAGAAATACCCACCCATACTCGCCTCTCTCTTAGGCTCTTCCTATGTTGGCAGCACAAACACTTACTACTTGCTGTGCCACTTGTAGTCTCTGATCCAGAATGACATTGATCTCCGAGACACCCGGAAACACTGTGACAAGGGGAACCTGAGAGTGAAGCCTCGGCAAGGCACAGCTGTCTTCTGGTACAACTACCTGTCTGATGGGCAAGGTACAGTGCCCCCACCACTGTGGGTTTAGTGGGCAGAAAAGATGTGCTTCCTCAGGAAGTAAGCACAGATCCTTGGGGAGGTCCTCCCCTCTTTAGATGCCCTAATTGGGACTTTGGAACCTTGGTACTTTAGCCTCATCAGGGATGTGAAGCTGTGGCCCCAGAATCCCTTTGAGAACTACTTGCATTGGCTGTGTCCTACCTTACTGTTAGTCACTTCATCTCCTGGCCTGGATTTGAGGGCCCTTTTCTGCTCTAACATTCTAGGTTTCAAAGCATCAGTGTCCCCTCATCACCTTAAATGAAACATGTCTGATTTGGAAAATCTCTTCTTGATGTTCCCTTCCCTTACCCCCTTTACCGCCTCACCAGACGATCTCCTTCTGAACTTTCCCATTTCCATGAAGGTCCCACTTGACCCTTTCATAGCTGCCCTTTGTCAGCCCCACAGCCACGTGGCCCGAGGACTGACACTGGAGTGGTTGGGGCAGCATTAACTGTTGTGAATGAAAGGACCTCGATTTCAGTCCTATCCTTTGTGCTATGAAGGGTGGAAGTCACAGTCTCTAGTCTCAAAAAGAGCATAGTCGGGGAAGCAAGATATACTTACATGTGGAAATATTAGGTAATAATGAGATGATGTATGAGAAGACCAAAAATGAATTGGAAAGCCCTTTCTACCTGTGTAACCTTTGAAAAGTTCCTTCCCCTCTGTGAGACTCTTTGATCCCCAGCATCACGAGCTACTTGAATTAGATGATCTAAATCTATACTAGCTCTCAACATCATGAATGGCAGCGTCAAGTGCAAGCAGATCCCAAAGGAAGGAGAGATCAGTCCAAGCTGGTGTAATCCCAGGAGACTTCTTGAAAGAGATAGGATGGGAGGTAGGCTTTGAAGGGCTGGTAAGGTTTGGCTAGGGAGAAGAGTAGTGGAGGGTGGGGAAGGCAACCTAAATAGAATAAACAGTATCTTCAATTCAGTGAACATCTTATTGTATACAGAACACTGTGCCTGGAACTAAGAGAAACAATTTAGAATGCTAATGTCAGGAGTCAGGGAGTATGTAAGTCTGTAACCCCTGCTCCTTGAGTAGGCTGAGGCTGGTGGATTCCTTGAGTTTTAGGGATTTTGAGAGGCAGTGGGGCTAACTGCCTCTGTACTCATTAGTCTGGGGATTGAGCCCATGAGTCGTTGCTGTACTTTTATTCTGAACAAGATAGGGAGACCCCGTCTAAAAATAATGTGTAAGTAAGACATGGCCTTTGCCCTATGTAACTTATAGGGGGAACGTGATACATAGATAAATGATTGTAGTACATACTATAGGAAAGTGGTTCTCAAACTTTTTTGCAGTGGTAGGGTCCTTCAATTTTTAAACACAATTTTGGCAGAACGCTTGGTGTAAAATCCTCTAAAATGATTATTTTTAATGCCTATTAACAAAAGATGTATGTTTACTTAAAAAAAAAAAAGCTTGAGGTGTTTTAGGGTTCTTTTCAGCACCATTGGAGAAATACTATAGGAGATCAGGGCAAGCTTTATGGAGATGATGACATTTGAATTTGGATTTAAAGGGTAGATAGGAATTCAGGTAAACCAGTCCTAGTATAGGATTGGGGGAGGGACTATTAAAATAGGTTGGGGCATGGTATGAGAAATATGAACACGGAACAGAGGAGTTGGCAGGTCAGGGAGGTGGTAATACGAGATAAGTTTGGAAATGTAGGGTAGCAGCAGATTTAGGACCTTGGGTACCGAGCAAAGACATTTGAGCTTTACTCAGTCCAGTATAGTATAATAGTATATCATAACATACTATAGTGGTATATTATAATATACTATAATAAAGTATAAATGGATGATAAGGTGGTTCAGTGGATAGAGCAATGGGCCTGGAGTCAGGAAGACCAAGTTCAAATCTGGCCTCAGATACTTACTAGCTGTGTGACTCTGATCAGGTCACGTGAGCTCTCTTTGCCTTAATCCAGTGGAGAAGGAAATGACAAACCACTCCATTATCTTTGCCAAGAAAACCTCATGGGGTCATGAAGAGTTGGACAGACTGAACAGCAATAAGGCCCTGTACTCGAGTATATAAGCAACTAAGCCACAAGCATTTATGAAGGATTTAGCATGTGCAGGCTCTTTGCTGTGTATTGGAGGTGAAAACTACAAAGAAAAAAAAAGGGAGTCCTTGTTCTCAAGGAATTTATAAATGAGGCAAGTCAATTCATAAAAAGTACAGTAGAATAGAGGCCAGGAATGTTGTTGAGGTGGAGTGGATTGAATATGGAAGCAGTGAGGAAGAAGAAACAGAAGATGATAACCCACTGGTATGAACAGGAGAGACTGAGTGGAGGCTCCCCAGACAGTTTGATCAAGTCAGTAGGAGCTGGGAGTTTAGAGGAAAAGATCAGCTCAGTTGGGGGCATGTTGAATTTGAGGTACCGGTGAGATATCCAGGTAAGGGTGTCCTGTTAGAAAGCCAGAGGTGTGAGTTTTGGAGCTCAGAAGGGAGAACAGGCCTGGAGACCAAAATTGAGGTTGTATTTAGAAAGACGGGAAACCATGAACCCTTGTGTAGCTTTAAGGGTACGTGCATTTGTATATGGCTCAGATCTCTTTTGCAAATGGAAGAATCACTTTCAGAGCCTAGACAAGCCCTGGATCCTAGTGCTTTCTTGAGATGGCTCTGATAGGTAATTAATACTATGAGTTCTTCCTTATCCAAGCTCTATTTTCTGCTGGTGGCTTATTGTTTGATCTTTCTCCCTCTTTCTCCAGGTTGGGTGGGAGAATTGGATGAATATTCGTTGCATGGTGGCTGTCTGGTCACCCAGGGAACCAAATGGATAGCTAACAACTGGATCAATGTAGACCCCAGCAGGAGTCGCCAGATCCAGTTCCATCAGGAGATGGCTCGTTATGCCCAGGAGGAGCTTGAGGCCCAGCCTGAGTGGACAGTGGACAAGTCCTACAAGAATGTACACATAGAGCTCTGACGGCGGGCATGGGGTCAGAGACAGCCACAGACAGACCGCAGCAGCTTCTGCGGTGACGCTCATGGGAGCCTTCACACCGTTGGCTTTAACTGGAAGCTGATAGTTCTTTGCCTTGTCTGCCAGGAAGGCTCCCCAGTTTGGGGGGTCTAATTCCCCTCCTTTATGAGGCTCTAACATGATATCTGAGGTATCAGGCTTGAGGTAGTCAGAACGATGAATTAGTGAGAAAGTGGGGCAACCGTGAGCACCCGGAGGAGCCCTACTGTCCTGTGTCCGTGGAATTTCTCCAGGAAAAAAAGGCCTGAAAGGATTTTCAAAAAAGAAGGAATTTACTTGGAGTCCAAGTGAGTTCAACCTATGTGTGTATGTGAGGCTTCTGGTGGCTTTCCTGGAAGTGTGGCTGTCCCCATATTTCCATAGAAATCCTCCAGGAGTGAGTAACTCCCTGGTGCTGGCCAGGCTATGTCTGAGGAAGAGGGAAGTTCATTTGGAGGGCAGCAGTCTCCTGGTGGAGGAAAGAGGGAAAGCTTGAAGTCTGTCTTAAGTCCTTCCTGTGTGTCTGCAAGGAGGGAAATAGGCTGGAGTCTAATTCTCACCTTCACACCCTGCAGTTAAGGGGAATTTAAGCCCTAAGTTATTTGTAGAAATGTCACTGTCACCAGGAAAAAAAACTGATTTGGTGCTTGAGAGTTCCAGGTGGGGGGGTGCAGGGAGCGGTTTGGGGAGGTGTGGGTGGGGGAATACTAATTCCTAAGTTTCCCTAGGAACTTGGATCCCTGAGGGAAATCCTCCTTTTTGTTTTTTTTTTTTTTGTTGCACTATCCTGACAGGGCCACAGTAGGTGTTCAGGTCTTCCCACTGTAAGGAATACTGCAGCCCTCTCAGTAAGCCTCAGCATTCCTCTGGTTCACAGGCCAGACTTCCTGGTGCTCAGGGTTCAACCTTGGGCCGGGCTCATGTAGAAGAGAAAGTCATGTCAGAGCTGAACAGGACCTTTAGAAATCAGTTCATCTGGTCCTCTCATTTTACAGAGGAGGGCAGGAGACCAAGGAAGCAGTGACTTGCCCAAGGTCACAGTGTGTTGATGACGGAGCCAGGACCAGGAGCCTTACCTGCAGCAGGGTGGGGGAATGATACCATATACGGGCAGGTAGCAATGGTTTCTTCTCAGGGTACAATAGGCTTTAATCATGCCGAAGTATAAATTATTGGGGAAAAAGGGAAACTTTTAAAGTGCAATAGTAACAATTTTGTGGAATGAAGTGGTTTTTGTTTGTTTGTTTGTTTTTCTCATCTAAACTCTTGGATTCTTTGTGAGCAGTGGGGAACTGACAGACTAGGTCCTGGGGGCACTTCCTGAAAAACGGCTTCCTGTTTGCAATCTCAGAGGTGCTTGCTACATACTAGAAGAATTCTTCTGAAAATGCACTTTGCCTGTAACCTTCCTAAACTGGGACACCCACTGCACCTTTTGCTTCCTTGCCATCTCTCTGTTATCTCTGTTATATCTTATCATACATATGCAATTGGTGACTTGTGTACAACCATGCCTCATACACTGATGATATATGCAAATACTCCTGCAGCCCATTGGGGGTTCATTCTGGTGTGAGTGTATTTTTTCCCTCTGCTTCTCTACCCCCTTCACACACACACAAACACACATTACAAATCCTTAAAGAGAACTAAACCAAAGAGGCCTCTCTTTGTTTCTCCACCTAGATAGATTCCTCACTCTCTTGTGAGAATGTTTTGTGGTGACTGACCAGCAGTGGAAAAGACCATAGTTGACATAAGCTTACTAGATCCATGAAAGAAGGGGCAGCTTAGGATTGCCCCATCTGAGAAGAATCAAGAAGTCCTTTAGACCTTTGACTTGTGCTGTCTCCTGCAAGAATGCTGGAGAGGCCCCTCTAAAGTCGAATTGTTGAGGCCTGGGCATTAGTTCATAAACTGGAAATGCTTAAGATGGCACAAAGACTGTGTCTGCACCACACTCTGGTTGAGTCCAGACTGCTGGTCAACCACCATCTTCACTACTGGCAGGGCACAACTCGAGCTGAGTGAGATAGCAATTTTGTGGAGGTGAGAAAGGAGTACTTTAAAGTAAAAAGTACTTAAAACTCTTTAAAAAAAAAAGTCTCAAGATGTCTATCTTATTATTGGTTGTGGTTGAAGTTTCTGGTCTTTTGATCTACACCATATTGAAGAAGAGACATGATTCCCGGCCCTGGGAATTCCCAGTCGGATGGACTTCGTGTGGCTCGGAGGCAGGGGGATGACATCTAACACTGCTCTAATCCACGGGCATGGGCTGTCTGCCCAGTCACCCGACGGGAGATGCGGGCCCTCGGTCTGGGGCCTGTGAAGAGGAGGCCCCCACCCCGCCTTCGCCCCCTGCCCTTTCCTTTTGTGTGCTATTGCGTGCGGACCCGGTCCTAAAACGGCCAAATACAAAGTTAAAGACTTCGAGTGGCCCAGACTCCGTGTGGGACTCGCAGGACGACCGTCCGCTTAGTTGCGGGAGGGGGAGGGGGAACCGACACTAGACGCAGCTGGGCCCTGAGACGTTCCAGAGTCACGTGGGAGGCAGGGGACGGCCCATTTGCTTCCTGGTAGGACGGCCTCCCACTGAATGCTCCAATCACTCGCACGACTGAGGTGGTCTTGAAATGAAGCGGGCCAATGACAGCCGACTTTAGAAGGCGATCAGCGACAGGCCGTCCCATTGGCCGTGGTGCCGCCTTGGGCCTGTGTGCGCGAGTAGGGCGCCCTGTCAGAAGCTGGCGTGCGTGCGTGCGGCCGGCGTACGGGCCTCCGAGCCGTCTGCGCGCGGGCCATGGATCCTCCTGCGGCGCGGGTAGAGTCGCTGCTGCTGCTCGCGCCGGTCACCGCCCTGGAGTGTGTGGGGGACCGAGTCCTAGCAGGTAAGGCCGGGACTACGGCGCGGGAGTTAGGCCTGTCCGCCCCCGGCTCGTGTCGGGTGGTGCGGGCGCGGGAGAAGCCGAGGCCTTCTTGCTCTTTGCCGCGCTGCGGGTTCCGGCGTAGTGTCCTTGGTCGAGTCGCTTCTCATCGAGTCCAGGCTCGCTCCTTGCCCCACGAGGCTGTCGGAACAGATTGTCTGTGGGTGGGCCTGGGGCCCGAGGGGAAGGCTGGAGCGGGGCTTGGCCAAGCTTTCTGGAGTCAGGCTAGAAACGGGTTCTGGATCATCCTTCCTGGACAAGAAACTGAGGCAGCGTTTACCCATTGTCAGAGACAGAGGTAGGCAAGGGGAACCGAATAGCCTGTCCCGGACCACAAGAGAAGTAGCCGCAGAACCAGCTCTGCTGCCGACTTGCTGTGTGACCTTGGACGAGTCATTTCCCTTCCCGATGCTCGGTTTCCTTCATCTTTTCAATGCAGTGCAGACCCTGGGTGAAGCTAGCAGCACGGGAAAGCAGTGACCCCGCTTATAGTTAGTTGGCCGGTGGATAACTCTGGTCTCTAGTAACTACTCGATTGATTGTCTGTAGCTTCAGACTTTGGCTGAAAAAAGAACTGATGATTGATTCTAAAATTTATTTATAAAGGGATTATTTAAATTGGTCATACACACACACATACACACAGGAAAGAAGTAGGTTAGTGGAACAAATTAGAGATACCAGACCAACCAAGTACAGGTAGTCACCAAGCATTTATTGAGCCCTTACTGTGTGCCAGGCATCTTGTCAAATACTGGGGATGCAAAGAAAGGCAAAAAAAACCCAAAACAAACCAGTTACTGCCTTGAAGGAGTATACATTCTTTTAAAAATTTTTTTTTTTTTTTGCTAGGCAGTGGGGTTAAGTGACTTGCCCAGGGTCATACAGCTAGTAAGTGTTAAGTGTCTGAGGCTGGATTTGAACTCAGGTCCTCCTGACTCCAGGGGAGGTGTTTTATCCACTTTGTCACCTAGCTGCCCGGGAGTATACCTTCTAAAGAAGGAGACAGCTCATAAATTATTAGGTGCATATAAGATAAACAGCCTCCCATAAGCAGCTAGGAAGACTGGGAAAGATGAGATTTGAAGGGAGCCAGGGAAACTAAGGCAGAGGTTAGAGGGCAGGAGCCCTCCAACCCTGGGAGAAAGCTAATGAATGCAAAGGCATAGAGATTTGGGGTGCCATATTCAAGGAACTGCAAGTAGGCCAATGTAGCTGAGTATGTGGGAAGGCGTATAAAAGGTAAGAAGACTGGATAAGAAAGGTCCAGATTCCAGGGAGGTTTAAATGCCATTTGGAGTTTATAGCTGATCCTGGTGGTAATAAGGACTAATTGAAGCTCCATGAGCAGAGAGGCCATTAAATTGTAAGCTCCTTAAGGGCAGGGGCTGTCTTTTGCCTCTTTTTATATCCCCAGTGCTTAGCACAGTGCCTGGCACACAGTAGGCACTTTTAAAATGCTTATTGATTGAGAGGTGATATGGTTAGAGGAATCACCTTGGCAGATGAGAAAAAGGCTTTTACATTTGATAATCATGACATCATTAGTAACTGTAGAAAAGGCAGTTTCAGTTGGATGATGAGGTCAGAAGTCAGTTTATGGAGGATCTAGAAGAGAGTGAATAGAGGCATTGACAGTAGACTCCTTTCTCGATAAGAAAGTATGTAAAATGAGTAGATGGAATAGTTGGATCAAGTATTTTTTTAAGGCTGAGGGAGATGTGGCCGTGTTTGTAGGCAGCAGGCAAAGAACCAGTAGATACGGAAAGCTTGAGGAGAAGGACTGGGAATGATAGTGGGGAGAAGTCACAGGGAAAGAATGGGATCAAGGGCTCTTGTGGAGGGGTTTGTCTGAGACCGGAATAAATGGAGATGTCTGACTGAAACGTGAGATGAGGAAGGGAGAAGGGAAACCTTGTGAATGGTCTTTTTTCTTCCGAGGGGAGGGTGAACTATGAAGTGAAGTCCTTAGAGAGAAAAGAAGGTTTGGAATAGCAAACTGTGGACAGTGGGACCAATACAGCGTCTGCCTTGCTTCGGTGAGAAGGAGCCCATTAAGGTTAGAGAATGTAACTTTGTAGTGGGCCTCCTCAGCACCGTTGTTCAGGAGCACATGAAGAAGAGTGAAGGAGGCCGATGGTGGAAGGAATCCAAGATTGGGCCTTGGCCAGGCATAAATGGCAATAGGACAGTGAGGCAAGGGAATCGAGGTTAGATGCTCTTGGCCAGTGGCAGTGTGGAGTGGTGGATTTGGAGTCCGAGGACCTGATTTCAAAATCCTGGGTCACTCGCTACTTACCTTTACGATCTTGGGCACATCAGTTTGACTCTCTGGGTCTCTGTAAAATGAGGAGATTGGACTAGATGACCTCAGACATCTCTTCTGGCTCTTAATCTATGATTCCGTAATAGAGCTTGATGAGCCCCACATTTCTTCTCAGGTCATATTTATGGGGACTTCATCTTATTCTGAATGTACGTGTTGGTAACTTATTTCATTATTTTGCTGTCCAGGTGAAGGGCCTAACCTACTCATCTATTGCTTGGAAACTGGTGGACAGCTTGTAGTAGCCCAGTTTGTGCCAAGTGTCCTCTGTCATTATTACATCCACGGCATCAGGGAACTTCAGAGCCCAGCACCTACACAGGCATCAGAGACAACCTTGGCTGTCTTTGGAAGCAAAGGCCTCCGTGTGCTGACGTTGAGCTGGGGACAGGAAGCAGTGAAGCTGACGTGGCTCTCCCAGCTTTGTGAGCTTCATGACTGGATCTGGGATCTTCACTGGGTCCAGGGCCCTGGAAAAGCCTCTTCTGCTCTGGCCCTGGCCCTGGGACACAACTCAGTGGTCCTCTATGACCACATCCGTCAGCAGGCCTTGCAAGAGGTACACTGTGATGAGATGTGTATTATCTATTCTGCTTGCTTGGTAGGGAAGGACTGGCAGGAGCTGGTGCTAGTTGCTGGGACTGTCTTTAACCAGCTTGTGATTTGGCACCCAGCTGATTTCACTAGTGAGGAAAGAAGAGTCAAAGTAGAAAGAAGGATAAGTGGGCACAGCGGGGTCATCTTCAGTATCTGCTACATGGAGAGCAAGGGCCTTTTGGCTTCGGCCTCTGATGATCGGAGCATTCGGGTCTGGAGAGTGGGGGACCTGAGGGCCCCTCACAGCTTAGTTCAGTGTATCCTGGTATGTTACGGTCACCAGTCCAGGGTGTGGTCTGTCCGGCTCCTCGACAACTATATCATTAGCATTGGAGAGGATTCGGCTTGCATTGTATGGAATTACATTGGTGAAATAGTTCAGACCTTTAAAGGACACAAAGGTCGTAGCATCAGGGCTGTGGCCATCCACAAAACACAGGCCTGGGTGATCACAGGTGGAGCTGATTCTGGCATTAGACTTTGGCCCCTTAAAGGGAACAGGCTTCTGGGCAATGGTGTCTCACCACTTAGCTTTGGCTTATTTACAAAGAAGGGATCTCCAAAAGCCTTAACTCTAGTCAGTCCTTCATGGCTTCTCGTGATGACTGATGTTGGAGCCATTTATCTTTATGACTTGACAATTAAACAGTGGAAGTTCATCTTGGAGGATATCAATTACCAGTCTTACAGTTTGCTGGATGCAGTTCAGCTACTTGGTGGCAGTGTGATATGTGCGCTAGGGAACCTAGAGGGCCACATTAAAATATTTCCCCTCCACTACCCACAAGAGGCAAAGGAACTGAAGATTTATAAGGGGAAAGTTCACGGCCTGAGCTGGGTCCCCCGCCAGCCCCAGGATCCAGGAAGGAATGATTTGTGCTGTGCTCTTTTTGCTTCTGGCCCAGAGGGTGTCTTGTTGTGGTTAGACGTCTTGTTCTGCCCTTCAGGAAGGGTGGTCAAGGTGATGGAGCAGCGTCGCTATATCCTGCCCCTCTGCAAACAAAGATGGCACACCTGCCTCACCTTCTTACCCCAAGGGGACTTCCTTGTGTGTGGCGACCGCCGGGGCTCTCTGCTGTTGTTTCCGTGTGGAGCAGGCACTGCTGAACCAAGTGGGGAAGAGCTAGGAGGAAAGGAGAGTGGCAGCAGTGCTGACAGTGACGTGGATCATGGGCCCAATCATTCTCTCACCCGTGAGGTGGGGGCCCCCGTTGACCTTCTGTTTGGGATTCATGGGAAGCAGGGTGTCACCTCAGTGACTTTCCACAGGGGTTATGTTTACAGTACAGGCAGGGATGGCTCCTTCCAGCAGCTCTGTGTGCAGGGCGGACGGCTCCAGCCACTATGGAAACAAAAACCTTGCAAAGGCATGGACTGGGTGGCTGGGCTCAGCTTTGCCCCTGATGGAAACCTGCTTGTCCTTGGCTTCCATTCTACTGACTTTGTAGTCTGGAGCCCAAGGACCCATGAGAAGCTTCACATAGTACCCTGTGGTGGAGGCCACCGCTCCTGGGGCTATGCCCGAACTCCAGCCACCGTGGTCTTTGCCTACATCAAGACTGGAGATGTCATGGTGTATCAGGCTCAGGAGGAGGGCAGCTGTTGCCAAGCAGTCCTGAAGGAGTCCCTGCATGGCCGAGAACTCACCTGTGTGAGGTACATTGGAGCTGTGAGGACTCAGGAGGGGGGCAACACCATAGACATCCTGGCCACGAGCAGTGAAGACACAACTGTGAACATCTTAGCTTTTGTAGCTGCTTCCTCCAGAGTCTTTTTGCTTGCCACCATCAATAACCACATCTCCAGTGTTCGGACCCTGACACTGTGTGGGGCAAATACTACTGGAGGAGAGTCACAGGCAAGACTCCAAAGCCTCCTTTTCTCTGCTGGTGGTAGGGCTGAGATGCAATGCTATCGACTCCTGGTCGCTGCAGACCTCAGCGCCCAGGCAGGACTTACCTGCCAGGTCACTCATCTGATTTCTCACCGGCTCGATGAGCTCTGGGACCGCCAGAAGAACAAGCACAAGGTTGTCAAGGTGGACCCTGAAACCAGGTAAGCTTTATAAGCTGTATTGACTCATGAGTGGGGAGCTTGGTAGGAAGTATGGTCACCAGCATAAGGAAACGACTGGACACTCCTGATGGCAGAAGGCTAGCCCTTGGCCTTTTGGAGGAAATCCTGGTCTAATGAGGTCTTCTTTTCATTCAGCAAGTACTTACTACACACCTACTACATGCATAGCCCTGGCCTAGGTTCTTGGGGGGATGCAAAATATATATCCCTGCTTGAGGAGAAAAGATATGGACAATTAATACTAGTACAAAGCCATTAATGTTGTATAGAGTGCTCTGGGGGCTCAGAGGACAGAGAGAGGAGAAAGCTTTATGGAGAAGGTGATATTCTAGGTGGAGGGGCAGAGACTTTTTTTTTTCCTTTTTATTCTACGCAACAAGGGTTGTTTCTCTGCTTATGGGAGGGTGAAAGGGACTGTGTTTGGAAAAGAAGATAATGTAAAAAAGAAACATCAGTACAAATGTCTAAGGGTACATGCATGAGATAGTAAGGACATGAGCTAGGATGATGGCAGTGAGAGGAAAAGGAGAAAGCATGGATGAGAGAGATGTTGAGGAGGTAAAATTGTAGACTCAACAGGACTTGGCAATTGGCTGGGATCAGGGGGTAGAGGATAAGTCAAGTATATCCCCAGGGGTCCCTCCCTGGGAACTCCTGATTTCATGAGCAGAGAGTCCCTAACTTTAGTGATGTCTCTGTTCGGTTAGGAGGTTGAGATAAAATTGGATAGGGGGAAAAAAATCTAACATTTAACAAAGTTTTTTTTTTTTGAGCAGCAGCCAGGGCTAATGTTTCAGAGCTGGATTGCTTCTCTATTGAGTCATGCCAAAGCTTTCAATGTACCTAAGTGACTGGAGAGGAATTTAGTATAGCCTGAGTCCCTCAGAACCATTGGGTGGTGATTGTTCCTTCACCAGGATGAGTAAGGTCTGTCTCTGATCTCAGGTACATGTCCATTGTTGTGGTGACCAGTCCTCAGCAGTCTAGTCTTGGCCTTGTCCTGGCTGCAGCCTGTAGTGATGGATCTGTGAGGTGAGTGGCACATTCTGTTTTTGTGACAGCGTCCTCTGGAGTTGTTGGCTCTTTGTGGGAACATTAGGGAAGCCTGAGGGGAGACGGAGATGGGAACAGGGACAGCACAGGGAAAGAAAGAGCAGGTCACATAGATGACAGACCTTTCACCCAGTTTGGTCCTGAATACTCTTGAATGAGACCACCATCTAGAAAACGTAATTCATTCTCAGTTATCTGCATATCGGTTATCATTTAGGCAGATTTAAAATAGATTGATTTTTCCACACTGCCCAGTGGGGACGATTCCTTATAGTATCACATCATACTGAGCAGAGCATGAGAAGGAGAGAGAATAAAACCCTGGCAGGCAGTGCATTTTCCATTTTACAGAGGAGGAGAATGAAGCTTGGCAAGGTCAAGTGACCTTACATGAGCAAGTGGAGTGGCAGAAGCTCGCTATTTGCTGCACTCCTCAAATGTGAGAAGATGCAGTGAATTCCAGACTCAAATAGAAAACCATTTGAGCATACACATCACTGTTGCTGCTCCATTGAGAGATGACTATATAGTTTTGCTTTCCTCTTGTTCTTTTCTCCCAGGCTCTTTCTCGTGGGTGAATTAGCTCAGAAACTGCAGCTCTTAGCGGAGTCCTTTTACCATCGGCGCTGTGTCCTGAAGATCCAGACACTGACATATGAGGCAGAGACTGGAACAAGGTGAGTTAAGCCTGGGCCTCTGTGGGGAAATTGCTTCAAGACCCTGTGCCGTATGACATCCTGAACAGTCGAAGCTACGTATCCAGCACAGATGTGGAAAGCCTGGGGACTTTAGAGGTGAGAAGGACGTACGGGGTGGGAGGGAGAGGAGGATGAGGAAGAACGAGTTGGAGCTGGTGGCGTGCAGGTGTGTGCATGCTTTGGAGTTCAGTCAGCTCAGTCAGCCAGTTCTTCACTGCTCTCTTCATAGCCCCTGGATCCCTGACTGCCAAGTCTGAAAATTCTAGTGTGCGTTCTATCTCTTATTAGGGTAGGGGGTTGGACCAGACAGGAAGACCAGCAGTAACTGTAGTCCTATTGGATTTCTCCACCACAGGCTCATGAAACTTAGCAGGAAAAGCTCGTGCTAAAAATAGTGGGTGAAAGGGCAGAGTTCCCTTCTTGATGCCCTGAAAGGCATCATGTGAGGCAGCTGGGCCACCTTTATCCAGCAGCATCTGAAAATGCTTTCCCCTTCACAGATGTGTGGTCCTGTGCAGTGCTGCCACAGATGGAAGCATTGCATTCTGGGACATCACTGCTACCTTAGACCATGCCCTTATGGTCATAAAATCACCAGGAAGAATGCAGCTACCTTGTGGTAAGTGTTGCTCTATTTACCTCACTCAAGATTTTCTCAACTCAAATTCTCTCTCTTTTCCTTCTGAATAGATTCATTAATCTTTGATGGGGTTTTTTTTTCTGCTTTTTCTAGATCTGGGATGCCCCTGTCTGACTATCCAGGCACACAGCTGTGGGGTGAACAGTCTCCACATTAGAGAGACTTGTGCAGGGCAGTATCTTGTGGCCAGTGGCAGTGATGATGGGTCCATCCACGTCTGCGTGGTTGCTATTGAAATGCCCCTAATTCCACGGGCCTCATCACAAGAGGACAGGAAGCTCACTCCAAAGACCTGTGTTCATGTGATACAGAAGTTTTCTGTGGTTTCTGCTCACGCTGCCCATGTGACAGGACTAAGAGTCCTGAGACCAGACCTCCTGGTCTCTGCCTCTGTTGACCAGCGCTTGACATTCTGGAGCCTGGGGCCTGCTGGCCTAGCTTTTGTGAGCAGCAGAATCTGCCATGTGGCTGATGTGTCTGAAATTGACTGCTGGGCCAGCAAGCCATGCAAAGGCTATCACTGTGTCCTCTCTGGACAAGGTTTGGAGATCATCCACTGGACAGGGTGAGCAGTACTCTGGGAACAGCCAGAAAATCCACCCTACAGCTGGACTTCATGGAGCCTTTGTCCTTGGCAATCCCAATCCTGGTTCTGTCCCTACTCCAGGCAATGTGTCAAATACTTGATCCTGTTCAGGGAAGGAATAAAAAAGCTACGAGTGATCCTGGCACCTAAGACACCTCATTTCATGGAGAAAACAAAAGACTCAGGATGTTGGAACATAAGGTAAGGAAGAGTGGATCTGAGAGGGCATAGCAGGCTACATTCTCCATGGCTGCAAGGCCAAGACCTCCTGTCTAGAAAGAGAAACACTCCAGTGAACAAATATGTTCCTCCAATCCTGGGTCTTAGGGTGTCAGAGTCAGTCAGCATTAATGTGGAGGCTCTGGGAGGAGCTTTTCAATGTTCAGGCTCCAATCTGAGGCTGGGCAGGCTCTGGGGCAGAGAGGGTGCTATGCTGGGGAAGAGGAAGTTTAAAGTTGATTTCATCTTAGGAATGTTTAGTTTCTGTAGTGAAGGTGCTTTACACGATGAGGTTAAAATCCCAAGATATACTGTTCTTTCATATTTAAATGAGCGCAGGGAGGGTTTGGGAAATTTCCTGGATCACAGAAGTATCCTCCAGAAAGAAGTTCACATTTCTGTATCACTTTAAGGTTTATAAAGCATTTTCCCCACAGCAACCTGTGAATTAGGGAGTCCAAAGAGCACGTCTCTTATTTTGTAGCTAAGAAAACAAATTAAAAAGCTGAAGTGACTTGCCAGAGTGTCTGAGTGAGTGTGAGCTGGGATGTGACCCCAGGCTGCTTCTGCCCCAAGGTCAACTGCAGCTGGCTTCTGCTGTAGAATGAATTAGATGGACTATTAAAGGAAATGTAAAATGTGTAGGGATCAAAGTGCCCTCCACATCCTTGTGTCATTAATGAGGAGAGCTGAGGCTGGCTCGCCCCATCTGGCATTGGACGTCAGAAGTTAAGGGTTTTCTCCCGGCTGTCTCACTACCCTGTCACCTTCCATATTCTTGCACAAGATTACTTGTCTTTCCTTTGACCTTCATTTTGTTCTGCTATCTCCCTCCTCCCCTGGTTGCTTTCTCATCTTTCTTGACATGATGTAATCTTTTCTCTTGTCCTTTGTGTGGGTGGCTTGAACCTTGGGGTTCCTTCTAACCTTCAGGTATAATAGTGCCCAACCTCCACAGTCCTTGTACCCTCTGAGGTTTCTGTGTTTTTCTGAGTCTCATGGTCTCTTCTCCTCTCTTCAGCCTGTTATTTTCTGACTTTCAACATCATCACCCAACTGAAATTGTTCTCTCCAAAGAGAAAGAACTCTTAATTTGCCGTCCTTTCTCAGTCTTAATCCTTCTTGATTTAGCTACTTAATTTGAGACTATTTACTACTTTATTCTGGAAACTCTTCTTTCTGGTCTTTGATGACACTGCATTCTCTACTGGTTCACCTCCTGAATGACTGCTCCTTCCCAGGCTCCTTATCCACACCACACCCCTAACTGTGAGGATCCCCAGGGTTCTGTCCTGGGCCCTGTGCTGTCTCTGGGGAACTTCATCAGCTCCCATGGATTTAACTCTCTTTTCTGAGCAGGTGACTCCCAGATCTATCTCTAGCCCTGGTCTGTGCTTTCAGTCTAGCATCACCCCTTGCCTCTTACACATTTCAAACCAGATATCCCAGACACATCTCAACATGTCTAAAGCTGAACTCATTCTCCCTGCTCCCAGTGTTCACCTCTTCCAAGATTCTTTATTTTTGTCAAAGGCTTCACCTTCTTTCTAGTCTCCCAGCTTCATAACTGGTGGTATTGTGTCCCTCATTTCACATATCCAATTAGGTGCCACATCTTGTTCTTACTGTCAGAACGTCTCTTCAATGTGACCCCTTTTCTCCATTCACATGGCTACCACCTTCTCTCGGGTCCAGATTACTCTTAGGCTAGATTATTGCAAGTGACTTCAAGTTGGTGTCCCTGCTTCAGGTCTTCCGCCACTCCAGCACATAACACTGAAGCCAAATAAATTTTCCTTAAGTACAGACCTGGCCATGTGATTTCTCCACTCTGCCAATTCCAGTGCCTTCCTGTTTTCTCTAAAACCAGTTCTTAACCTTTTGTTGTGTCATGGACCCCTTCTCAGAATGTTTCTAAAGTCATAAAATACATAGAATTACAAAGGAAACCAATTTATGTTGAAATAGTTGTCAAAATATTAAACAACATCACAGACTCCAGATTGAGACCTGTTCTCAAGAATATAATAAAAACTCTGTTTAGCTTTTAAACTCTACCCAGCCTGGCCCAACCTGTCTTTCCACTCTCATTGGATGTTACTCCCCCTCTCATAACTGTGATCCTGACAAACAGGCCTTCTTTTACTCATTCGTGACACTCCGTTGCCCATTGGCCTTTGCACTGGCTATACCCCATGCCTAGAATGTACCCCCTTCCTGCATCTCGAATCACCCCTTTTGCTTGGAGGGCCAGCTTTGAAACCTTTCTTGATTTCATCCCTCCCCCAAGTGTGCCTTCTCCCCAAACTACTTTGTATTTAATTATTCTGCATGTGCATATATATGTATTATGCAATATTTTTATGTGTATTTAGTCTCCCCCTATTAGAACATAACCTTATTTAAAGCAGTTATTGCTTCATTCTTTGTACTTACATTCCCAGCACCTGAACATAGTGCTTAATAAATATTTGTTAATTGATGGCCTTAGTATCCCCACAGGTGAAATCAACTGGCCAAGATGAGTACAGCATACTTCTTACTAATGATCTCAGCTCCATTCTCTGCTTTTTTGGGGTGTCCTCTTTCTGGGCAAAGGTCAATAGGGAATTCCTCATGGACCATGCAGCTTGGCCTAGGGTTCCAATGTTCCACGTCTTGTATACATTTCACTTCAACTTTCAATTCAGTTTCATTCATTAATGAATTCAGACATTTAAGTGCCAGACCCTGTGCATGAGGTTTGGGATACATAGATAATACCAACTTTGCTCTGAAAGAACTTCTGGTCTATTCAGGGGAAAGTTTCAAATACACCGATAGGAGAAACTGAAATAAGGGCAGAGATCTGGGCAAAGTGCTAGGAGAAGTTGGGGCACGGGGAGTTTTCTTTCATGATGGGGAGTCAGGGAAGCTTTATAGAGTATCTTTAGTATCTGAGAAACTTAACTTGAAGGTGATGGTGGTGATGGTGAATCATTTGAAGATATGGGTAATGATGTCTATTTTAAGTGGAACTCTGAAGGGGGTAGTATGAGGCAAGTCTGGACTGGTGCATTGGAGCTGGCTTGTAAATGGTATAGAGAGGATGGGGGGCTGGGCAGTGGAGGCAGTGCAGGGCAAGGCCAGTAAAGGCTGAAAGCATGGAGACCTGTTCTGAACCCATTTGGCCTCCACAGCAGGAGGAGTCCACAGGGAGGGCGGCAGATGGGTTTTGCATTGATTTACTTCCCGTACCTGCTGATCTCTGGTTCAGAAGTGTTCTCAGAGCACATGGGGCCTACTGAAGCCAAATGAATGACGAGTTTTTAGAGCCCTGAAAGGTTTCTTCCTATGTTTCATTGTTTCTTCCACAGGACTGCTGTCTCTGGGATATCTCTGGGCTTACCTCACCAAAGAGGATCCTCACACTCCCCCTTCACTGTACAGCCTGGTGCCCAGCCTGTGAGCCCCACACTCAGCTGCCCTTTCTTTCTGGTGAAGACAGGCTTGATTATTCAGAATCCTGTGCCAAATGGGTGAGCAGGTATTGCCACCCTTTGATCCTCCAGTCATTGCCCCCTGACTCCTGGGAGTTTGTGTTTGGACTAGCCAGACTTGAGTGAAGTGCCAGATCACAGAGCCATGGGGCCAGGTACTATGACCAGTGCTACAGTAAATTCAGGGGCCTCAAGGATATTTTGTATATGTAAAGTGGGTATTGGCTCATTGGCTGTGACTTAGAGAGGACAACTGTCCCTGAATGGTTTTGATGAGCCTCCACCTGCTGCAGGAGTCTTCCAGAAGAATGTGCACCTACCTCCCCCAGTGAGTGTCCATTTAGAAAAGTGCTCTCCTGGCTTTCTCCCACAAGTGCTGATTGCACAGTTGAGTTGGGAAATGAAAAAGACCAGGGCTGGGAGAGAACTTTGGCAGGCACTGAGTAAGGTGATAGGGGCTATAGGTGAAAATTGGATATGAATTGTTAAATCAGGAAACCCTAAAGGCAGAGTTTTAGCCACAGTCTCTCCAGTAAGATGACTTAAAAGATGGCTGCTGAGTGAGACCAATGGAGGAGCAAGGGAGACTTGGAAGTGTATTCCCCTCCACCTTCCAGCCCCCCACATCAGGAGAACAAACCTTGGGTTTGCCTCTATCCGTGATGCCACGTTCTTTTGTCCATCCTTATCTCTTGTAAGCTCTTTGAGGACAAGGACTGTTTTGTCTTTGTACTCCCAGCACCCAATACACTGGCTTGTGCACGTGTTTAATAAATGCTTATTAAGTTGGATTACTAGTTGTGGCTCACACTGCAACTTTGTGGTTTGAGCCTGCTTCCTTACAGTGTGAATTCTGCCAATGAGCAACAGAAAGAGCTAGTGTGGGTACTGTAATGACAGCAGGAGTGGAGGGTTCCCTCATCCCTTTACACTCCCTTGCTCCACCTCTATGCTCATGTCTGTGCTTGATGAGACTGGGGCAGGAGGTGAAGAATGGATTTAGAGGTTAAGATTAAAATTCCAACTCAGCTGTTGTTCCTCCTGAGCAGAAACCCAAGATGCCCACCTCATAACCAACAAAGCACTTTATTTAGATAGAAATATTAGTTTGCTGCCAGCTTCTGCCAGCAGTCCAGGGGCTTTTGGGGCCCTGACGGTACTAGAAGGATTTCTCCTTGTTTGTTAATAAATCAAAGTGATGTTAAACTCTCTTGGGGAAGAGTAGTGACTGCTGCCCAGCAGGTGAAATGGGGCACCTGGACAGTGCTGAAGGCTATGTTGGTGGGGGATATTTTTGTCCAAAATATACCATTTTAACCAAGTAAACAGTAGGCAGTCACCACAGCCAAGCACCTGCCTTGCCGACTTCTCTAACAGTGTCCTGAGACCACGGAAGCAGAGGAGAGTCCAGTGCCCTGGAGGCGAGTGGTAAATGGCACATGTGGAGGCTCCTTGGAGGACAGAATGGTGCTCTCAGATCTGGCTCAGTGGGGGAAGATGCAGAGTGGCCAGTGCACCGTGAAAAACCTCTTGAACAGCCCGCATTAGCTGTAACCGAGCAAACATCTGGCCAAACAGATGAGGTTGTGGTTCCTGCCGGGGAAGGAGGCCATTCCACACCCATCAGGGCTAGGTCACTACTTCTCTCCCTTTTGCCACTACTAGAGCAGCTACTCCTCCCTAAGAAAACCTCCGTGAATCCCTCCAGCTGTCTTGGTCCCAGAGGAGGTCAGAAATGAACTTACCCCAAGGATGTGCACTCGGTTATAGTAGGAGCTAAAGTCCATGCTCAAATGCACCAGAAACTTGCATACCTGGGAAGAGAAGTTGATCTCCTCAGTCTCACCCATCTACAGAGGGTTAGAGTAAGAAGTGAAAGCACAAGGCTCATCTTGCACCTCCCCTCCAAAGGACATCCTTAGATTTTTGGGACAAGGCCAATACAGGATTTTCCAAGGGGGAAGGGGGAGTAGGAAGGAGAGAAAATTAGGTCAAGACCTTAGGATCCCAGTAATCTTCCCGAAGGCCTTCTATTCCTTGGCACAGAGAGGGGCAGTCTGTGCATCTGTGTCTCCTGACAAAGCAGACTTATGCCTAAGAGTACCTGCCACCCCTGACCCACACTCCCTTCCACCTCCCAAACGGGCACGGAGTGCTGTACCGCCTCAGTGTTGGCTGTTATCCGGATTCCTGGGCTCGAGACATGAAGCTGTGCTGATTGGCTAAGGACCTCAGGAAAGGGGATGATGCCATTGAAAAGCAGAAGCCATTCACCCTGTACACAGAAAGTCCTTCATTTACTGGAGATGGCATCAACTGGTCCAGCCTTGCTCCTCTGGACTAAACCCACTTAGCTCATCCCCTGGGGCCCAGGACTTGCAGAAAGCTTGGTTTGACATCTGAAGAACTGAAGTTTAGTCAAGGCAACTAGATTGTCAGAGTGTGGGAATACCGTTTCTAGAACCTTGAAGAGTGAACTAAGGAGGCTTCATTAATAATGAGGTTTACCCAAGAGTTCCATGTCTTTGTTGTCTTTCTTCACAAGCTCACATGTAGCTTTGTACATACTTGAGGTTTTCATATGAATGCCTTATGTCCCAGCCACTGGGTGACTGTCTTGAGAATAGGAAACATGGCCCAGAACCAAGCTCTGCAAACAGGAACTTTGCTAGCTATCTCAATCCCCTCCTCGTCCTGGTCACTTACTTCTTCACGAAGCAAGGAGAAATCCAACTCGGACACATCAGGGAAAGCAGGATACAAACCTAAAAATGAGAAAGCTGTTAGGGGTCTGCCACAAACACCCTTGACCATCCAGAGAAATCAGAGAAGTGGGATGTTTATAGCAGCTCTAAAGACACTGTCGAGTTCAGGCACAGAAAGGCAGGCAGAAGACTTCTGATTTCTCCTACCCCTGAGGGCATCTGACCAACCCAGTATAAGCGAGGTCCCTGTCTCTGTAACTTACCTTGCTCCACACCTCGCTGATAGCCATCAAAGAGCGTGGCAAGGCGGGCACAGTTGTACATGACAAAAGCTCCACTCTTGGTGCCTTTGGTAGAGATGCTGGTCTCCTCCAGGTCCAAGGACATCTGTCAGCAACATGACAGTCCCTGAGCCCCGAGAGCTCTTCTGTCTGGAATCAACCCCACCTCCCCTCTGTGGCAGAAGCCATGTTTAGAATCAAGAGTTTCGAGCTGAAAAAGAGATTACTTAGTCCAACGCCCTCATTTTACCAAGGAGAAAATTCAGACCTAGAGAAGTGACTTGCCGAATGTCAGGACTATAACTTGGGTCTCCCCTATGATTCTCAGGCTCATTACAGGTCCTTATTTCTACTACACCACAGCTTCCTCCCCATTCTGGCCAGGAAAACTCTAGCCATACCCTAGACCAGACACTTTTCAAAGGCTTCATTTCCCCATCTTGAAGGAATGGCATTATGCTAATACACCCTTTGCTCCTGCTATACATTTCTATCTGCACACGGGGAAAGCCCAGCCCTAGCCCATAGCATCCCAGCTCCCATATCTCCTCTCCATTGTGGCATCCCAGGGTCCTCATCCCTTGATCACAGCTATGTACTAGCCAGGTCTCACCTGACTTCGATGGGCTGTACTTAGCATTTCAAACTTGACCGCAGCAGAAGTGAGAGCCTCAATTATTTCATTCCAGTTCTCATCTATGTAGGGTGAAGTGTCCATGACAGATAGATCAGTCTAAGGGGAATGTTTGGCTCTCTCCTTCCAGATGGTGCTCTCTCTTATCTCTCTAATCCCCAGCTCAGTAAGGGGCACAGAAGGCAAAACATGATAACAAAAGTAAATTTGTTGGGGGAAAAAAAGACAATGCATTCCATAGCCAAACAGAAAGGGTTTTTTTGTATCATCCATCCCTCATTTAATTCACAGATTACTAGCTCAGATACACTCCTAAGAAACAGGAAAGGCCCCACCAGTTCCCACCTTCCATCCTGCAGCAGAGAAAAAGCCACGAGCCCCAGGGATGAGGGAGGGTAATCCCCTAGGGCTCTGGCTCCCACACCAACGAAGCATTACCCTGAACAAAGTCAACTCCATACTTCAGCACTGAGGCCTCACGCATCTGGGAATGCCGGAGCCTGCCACAAACAGCCCATTGGAAAATAAGATGCAGTTGTCCCCTTGGCCTGAGCCACCCAAGGAAGGCCCCCTGCCTTGTCTATCTTGCCCCATTCTTTCCTCCATGGAGCTAGCCAGCTGACTTTCCAACCCCAGCCGTGTCTGCCTCTCCCCAATGGTGCCCACTACAAGGTCATCCTCAGGAAGTGATCTAGACCTCCATGCCTACTCACCTGTAGTACTGGGGAGCACTCAGTGGGGTAGGGGAGCCCACAACTTTCACTGGTCCGCAGACAAGGTGCTTCTGAAAGAGGGGGAATCACATGGAAGTCTCCAGATTGGCCTGGAGATAGCTCTTCCACAACCCTAACTGCTCAGCTTGCAGCATACTGCTGCAGGCCAGTGTCCCAGGCATGAACCTATAGTCAATCCCAAGGCCCATCAGTTCTACCTACTGTCTTTGGCCCTCCATCCTCCATCACAGCCCATCCTAGCCTCAATCTCTTCCCTCACCCAATCTGGCTGTCTATAATAGCACCCTGACTCATCACCTTCCCCTCATGTCTCTGATCATTATCCTACCCACAATTTATCTGTGGAAAAAAAAGTGAAAATACTTCATAAGAATGTACTAGGTGCCATGCACCATGCTAAGAGGTGGGCATGGGAAGATAAGAAGCAAGTTGGTCACTGCTCTCCTCACACTCTAAACAGGGGAGATGAGACAGAAAAATCTGGCCCAGGGACCAGTGTCTTGCTAAGGCACAGCTTTGAGCTCATCAACAGCCTTCTGGGACTCTGTTTTTACCATATAAAGACTTGGGGTTCAAAACCCTCACCAACTTCCTTTCATCTTCCCTCTCCAAACACACTTCCCACTTGTCCACCAGGCTAGCTTCTTCAGGCTCCCTGCAGCACTCACTCCAACTTTTATCACATTGGACATTCCCCTGCCCAGAATGCCTTCTCTGCTCTGCCTCCTGGCCCAGGGCCTTCAGGTGAGGAGGTGATGATGCCAGCTCACACTAATCAAAATACTTAACATCTTATCGTACCCTGCTCTGTCCTCTGTCTCATCAGCTTTAACATTTGGACTGTGATTTCCCCAGGCACGGAGATCAGAGATCAGAACACTTCTGTATCCATGGCAAGATAGATCACAGCAAATCAGTCATGACTTATGAGCTAACTGTGTACATCATTGTTATCATCCCAAATCCTGGGGAGATATGGGCCACTTATGGCCCATCTGAGGTTCCATACAAAAAGGATCCAGTCCTAGCTTTCTCGGGCTTTAAGGTCCAATGACACAGGGGGAACACATGGCTCTGAACCGAAGCAAGAAAGATACAGTGAGTCATGACCTGAAAAGGCATGAAAACACATCTATCCAATCAAAGATCAGTACATGTGGATCTGCAAAGGTGGAGAGGTACAACGGTGAGTTCCACAGGTGGTCAATTCCCTCCACTCCATTCCTTACCTGTCTGGAAGGGGCACTGGCATCCACCAGTCTCCACAGCAGGTCTACCTTTTGCTGCTGGAATGCTTCCTCACAGCTCACCACATGAACCACGGAGCAGGCTGCACCTCCGACAGAAGATTCAGCCTGCAGGAGGCGGCACAGGTATTTGGGCCTTCATTTTGTACAAGGGGAAACTGAGGTACCAAGAGATTAAATGGCTTGTTCCTAGTCACAAGGCTAAGCAGTGACAGAGCTAAGGCTCGACCCAGAGTCCAGGGCTCTTTCTACTTTGCCAGCCAGCCTCTCAGAGGTCAGCATCACTGCTTAGCAGAGTTTCTGACTCACAACAGGTGCTTAACAAATGTCTCTTGATTGGCTGGCCTGACCCAGATCAGTTCAAGTGATGGCAAAGAGAAGAGGGATGAGAGAGAGAATGAGAATTTACATACTTCACTGTGACTCAAGGGGAGATTCCTGGGACAGTGCTGGGCAGCCTCTTGGAGCTCCGTTAAGGCTCCGAGCTGATCCTCAGTTACTACAGGGGAAAAGAAGAGAAGGAAAGAGTTGAGAACAGCAAAGGACTGGTGTTCCTCTTCAGCCAAATGTCCTTGACACTCTCCCTCTTGTAGGCCATCCCTCCCCCACAGGTGACTTTTTAGCTTTTACCTAAACAGATGTCCAGGTTTGGGTCAAAGCCTTCCAGGTCTGGCTGCTGCTCCAAGAACTCTTTCAAGGATACTTTGCATACCACTCCAGGAGGTAAGTCTTCAGTTGGGACAGCAGCATGATCTCTAAGAACTTCCTTCAATGCTACAGTGGATTCTGGGGCTGACGATGTCTCAGAAGCTGATGGCCAGTTGACTTTTAGCTGCTGCAGGAAATCCCTGAGCCCAGGGTCCTGCACAGCTGGAACCTGGTAAACAGTCACCCTGCAGAGCAAACAGGGACCCTGAACCTACTGCACCAATACCAGCCAGCCAATGGCCCAACCTACTCCTCAGAGTTCCAGACCCACATTCCTGTGGGTCCTTCACATTCAATATGTCCTGAACTAAAGTGAGTATTTTAATCTACAAACACTGAAACCTGTCCTTTCTCCAGACCTCTCTGTTAATAACTCCACTAATTAACTGAGTCACTGGGGTCTGAACCCTCAGAATGGCATCCTGCTTCTCCTTCACCCCTACATCCAAAAAGCTTTTTTCGAATTACAAAAATTGTATTCAGACAAGCCCACAACCTAAATGAATTATGTACATATAAAGATGTGCCTTTTTAAAGATCTATATTAACAATGGCGCATGCTTCCATGCAGCTTTAGGGTTTACACAGTACTACAACTCTAGGAGGTTGTAACGAAATGTAACGAAAATGAGAATCAGAGAGATCAAATGATCTGTCCAAATTGACACACAGTTAATAAGTGTTGAATCAAGGTCTTCAGCCTTGAAGACATGGCTATTTTTACTACTCCAAATAATCTTTTATTTTCCTCCATTAGCTAAAGAATGATCATCTTATTCATAAATTATACAACTGAGTTAGCAGCTTCTGCATTTATATTATATTCATCCACAAGGATTTCCTAATTTCATTATTAAGTTCTCACTCCACTATCATAAATCACATACTCTCTGTACCTCAGTAAACCCAGTTTCTTGAGTTGCTCTAGACAAAAAAAAAAGGGGGGGGCAGCTAGGTGGCCCAGTGGATAGAGCACCGGGCTTGGAATCAAAAAGACCTGAGTTCAAATATGGCCTCAGACACTTTGACACTAGCTGTATGACCCTGGGCAAATCACTTAACCCCAACTGCCTCACACACAAAAAAATTCAGTAGTGAGTGGCCAATCTCCTGATGATGAACCTCTCCATACTTGTAGTAGAATAGTTTTGAGCTGGTAGCCACAATCATTCTTCTGACCCTTTCTAACCAGCCTGGCATTGTGTTTGGAAATACAGGATCTCCTCTACACCTCAGTGAAGCTTTGGAGTACTTACATGGAGGGATGGTATAACAATGACTATACATGACAGTAATACATGTCTAGTGTCTTTCTTCCCATCAGTGCCCTCATATAAATTAGGGTAGGGTTTGAGTAGGGAACAAGGCTCCCAAGTGTGAAATGCCTGCAAACTTTCCTCCTTTTTTCTTTAATTGAATTTTATTTTCCAGACAAATTTTCTACAGCCAAACCCTTTGAGCTTGTGCTAGATACAGATGTCCATTCAGCAAGACTGTCCATCACTCTGACTCACCCTTGTGTTCGAAGAGCCTGTGCCAGGTGATCAGCAACCAGGACAGCTCTCAGCTGGCTCAGGCTTAAGGCATCTGGCCCCTTTGGACCATGCAGGGACACGCAGTCTAGGATGATGCTACGCTCAGAGGTGGAGGAGGTAGGCTGGGGGGCCACATAGCCCTGTAGGGAGCTCAAGACCTGCTCAAAGACGGTGGGCCTCTCCAGCTGGAGTGCCAACCCGGCCTGGGTCTGGGTGCATTTCTGAATGGGGGGGACACCTGGGCCCTCCAGAGCAGCAACCTCATCGAGGATGTCTTTTGGCACCTGGGAAGATAAAGGGGAGGGATGCCAAAGAAAACCTGCTAACCCGGGTGGGGGCTGGGGAGGGCCATTCCCTCTTCCCACCCTCTGGGGCCCATTTTCCTAATTCCCTCTCCCCCATCCCTTAGACTTCCGCTGGGTGTGCTCAGAGCTCATCCAACCCCTCCTGCCCCCCGCAATGGGGAAGCTGAGGCCCAACCAAGGCCATCCCGTGGATAAGCCCTGGGGTCATTTCCAGTCCGCAGGCGACCCAGCACGGCCCCACCTGCCCTTCCCCAAACAGGGCCTGCAGAGCGCCGCGGGGCGCCAGGAAGTCGCGGCTGCGCAGGTTCCGGGGGCTGTTCTCCTTGAACCACACGGAGCCGCCGGGGCCGGAGGAGGACGGCTTGGGCCGCAGAGCCGCATTCAGGGCCCCCAAAGTCTCTCCGACCCCGAAGCGCCCCGTCGCCATGGAGACCGGAAAGAAGAAGGCGGAAGCGGAAGCCAGCACCTCGGGCGGGGCCGGAAGCGGAGCGAGCGCGGGGACGGCCACGTGGCCGCCAGGTTTCCTAAGCCGGACCGGGCGGCCGAGCACGTGGCAGGAGGGCGCGCGGAGCTCGGGGCTTGGGCGGAGTCAGGGTTAACCTAACGGAGAGGAGGCGGGCCCGTGGCCTGCACAGAGTTGCTTCTACAACCCCAGGGCCTGGGCGCCGACCCTGGCCCAAGCCCTGGCTCATCTCGGCCCCGCCCCGCGCCCTCCAAACGGTTTCATTGATCAGTAAAGTGGGGATAAAGCTGTCGGGCTCCCGGGGGCGCTGGGGAGCGTTATAACGCGTCCTGAAAAGTCTCAATCTAACAGAGGTGGGGCAAACATGCGGGCACGCAGGGAGACCACCCCTCCACCCCACCCTTTGCTAGGGGTAGGGAAAATCAAGGCAGGTCCCCTTAAGAAAGTGAGGATGGAAAAACCACTGCAGCTGGGGGATCGTGGAGGGGGAGGGAGGGACCTGAGCCGCAGGTAAGCCCGGAGAGGTGAAGAGGCGTGTTCTGGGGTGGGGGTAAATGCATGCAGGAGGGCTGGACACAAAGGACAGAGCAGGAAGGGGTGGAGGTAAATACTGGGAAAGGCAGCTGTGATCTGGCTCCAGCCTGCCTTTCCCAGGCAAAGTCTTATTGGACGCTTTGTATTTAGTAAAATAGCGAGGGACATTATTTTTTTAATGGAACAGTGAAAGGTAAGTTGTGTAGAAAAGAACACCTGACTTGCTTATCATACCTGACTTCTGTCTTCGCCACTGTGTGACCTGGATCAAGTTCCTTACCCTTTCTGGGCCACTTTTTCCTCGGTAAAACGAGGACTTGACCTGGTGACCTTCAAGACCTTCTGTTAATTCCTGTGGGTTGCAACATCTTTGTGCATGCCAGTCAATCCATAAGCATTTAAGCATCTACTATGTGCCAGGCACTGGACATTCAAAATTCGAAGAACAAAACTCCCTATGCTAGCCTAATGTTTATTGCCTTAAAAAAACCACCTGGATGCAGACGGCAGTAGAGCTTGCACAGGCAGTCATGAGAACTGGCCAGGACGACTGTAATCAGTTACATATAAAGTCCTCCCATGGCACAACTAGGGATATTAGTAATGGCTTCCAGGGAAAAAGCCCTCCGAGATAGAACCCACAAGCTCAATAAAAGGTGATGAAAGTGATGCTGCCTCCACCTCACCAGAAAATGGCTGACCTGAAGATGTGTAATCAGTGGTTTTAATTTTTGATCATGAGTGTGGTTGGGGGATAGAAGCCTCTTTAATATTAGCTCTATTTGCTATTAGACCCTGAAAACCTGAATGTCAGATAAACCAAACCATTCTGTATTCTTTACAATTAGGATTTTTCTTCTTCAAGCTAACTCGTTGGTGAGGAATTCAAGCAGGGTGCATGGGCCAAAAAAAAAAAAAAAAAAGTTTGTCGAGGCCTTGTCAATGTGCATGGCCTTAAAGACACAAAACATCATCCTGTGAGAAAATGTTAGTGACAACAGATTGTATTTATTTTCAAGCATTATACAGTATAGGGGGAAAAAAATCTTGAAATCTGAAGTAATTAGGAGGGCCTGGGTTACTTTCTGGCACGACCCCGCCCCCCCCCCCCTTCCTTATTCCTGCCTAACCAAGCCCTACATTCTAACTTTTGCCCCAAGGCCCTTAGAGAAGACCTCTTCCTCAAGGCACTCAATTCCCACTGCCTGGTATTGCTGTTAGGTCTCTGTTTCATGGCTTTTCAGATTCCCCAAGGCCTGTTCCAGACACCCAGCATGGGTCTCTAACGTTGGAGCATTCATTTTAAATGCAGAATCTGGATTTGAATCCTGGTTCTACTACTTGCATTTGTGAACCTTGACCAGGTCACAATCTGTCAGGGCCTGTTTCCTCACATATAAAATGAAAGGGTTGAACTGAATTGGCTTTATCTGTGACCCTGTGATTTAGAGCTAGAAAGAGCCTGAAGAGATGTCATCTAACTTCATTAAAAAAAATTATTGATGCCTTTTATTTTGCCATTGGAGCAGAAGGTGGCATAGTGGAGTGCCAGACCTGGAGTCAACAAGTTGTTGTTATGGTTTCAGTTGTGAGCCCTTTTGAGATGTTCTTGGCAAAGATACTGGACTGATTTGCCATTTCCTTCTCCAGCTCTTTTTACAGATGAGGAAACTGAGGCAAACAGGGCAATATGACTTGCCCCGGGTCACACTATTTGTACATGTCTGAGGGCAGATTTGAACTTAAGACTGTGACCTGGGCAAGTTATTTAAGCCCTCTGCCTCAGTTTCCTCATCTGGAAAATGAGCTGGAGAAGGAGATGGCAAACCATTCCAATATCTTTGCCAAGAAAACCCCACATGTGGTCATGGAAGAGTCAGACATGACTGAAACTGAACAACAAAGTTTTACATCATTCATTCCCAAATAGTATATCCCTCTCCTACCCAGTAAGCCATCCCTGGTTAACAAACATTCTAAATAGGGAAAAAACAAAAGGTAAGACAAACACGCTGACCACTATGACAGTATAAACATTCAACACCCAGAGTTCCCCACAGCTGCAATGAAGGGAGGTACTTTTCACAGCTCTTCTCTTGTAGCCTCCCATTTTGTAGATAAAGAAACTGAGGCTTAGAAGGGGAAAATGACCTTACCAAGGTCACATAGGTATTAAGAAGTAAAGCTGGGACATGGGTTTTTTTTCCACAAATAGGAGTGACAGACAACCCCTCTGGTCTCGAGGGAAAGTAATGTGGGAGTCAAGATTCATAAGTAAATAAGCCCAGAGGACAGGAAGATCTCCTCTAAGCTGGGGAGTCAGAAACTGGCATTTGACTCCCCCAGAGTTGGTACTTTTGTGAGACAGATGAGGTCCCTGAATTCTGTCCCTCCACTGTTAGCTTTAGTCTGTCAGTCTTCCAAACATCTAATGTTATTTCAGGTTACACCGAGAAGCAGACTCTGAAACGAGGGGTCAGAATGTTAAGCCTGCCATCCTCTGTTCCAGTCAGAGACATACATCCTGTATGGTCTTCAGCTCTGAGGAGCATGTTTTTAGGAAGCTTGAGTAACCAGAACAATAACCCGGATGGAGAGGAACTGGGGATTTCTTCAGCCTGATGATCAGACTGGTGTGGGGGAGGGTCAGGGTAACACCCTCTACAATCAAGTATTTGGAAGGCACTCACATAGGGAGGCCACAGAGAAAACGGTCTCAGATCTAGGCTCAGTGTAAGGACAGCCTAACAATGAGACGTTCTGAAGTGAAATAAATGGGCATTCTCTGTCACTGAAGTCTTCAGTTGGAAGGGATGTTCAAGTTCAAGGCTCTGAGGCCTCCCTGATGATTGGCAGAGCCTCATTTGAGGGCTGAGCTGTGGTGGTTTCCAGAGACCCTGCCTCCAACCCCACTTCTCTTTTCACTTCCTGAGCCTACTCCTTAGGCCCCCATTATCCCAGTGCAAGAGCTCTCTCCACCACTCACAGCCAAGAGGTGATCTGAGAATTCCTGCTCACGCCAGACCAACTACTGACTGTCTGCAGTGACAGGAAGAGACCCACCAGTTTAGAGGGACATCCTCAGATCTGGCCCAGTGGCATAGGCCACCTTACCTTCCTCTCTGCCACAGTCCATTCCCTCTTGTCTAGGAGAGGCCTCCACAGGACTCAAAAGAAAAAGGGAAAGGAGCAGTTTGCTGAGTTCACAGAGGGAGCAGCCCAGACAGGATCTGCCATCTGGAACTTCTCATCCTTGGTGGGGAGGGAAGAAGGGAAGGCAGGAAGGATTGCTCAAAGACTTCTTCTAAAGGGCCTTTGCAAAACCTTCAGAGGCACAGTGAGAGGTATATCCCCTGCAGGCAGCTGAGTATTCAATGCACCTTGGGGGGTGGGGGTGGGGTGGGGGAGGGGTCCAGGGGGCAAGAAGCATTGCTTACAGCAGGCCCTCAATCAGTACCTACTCTTGGAATCCCTTCAGGAGGCGCCGAAAGGGCATTGGACAGACACGATATGCCCGATGGCTTCTTGGCTGTCCGCTCAACGGGAGTGATCGTGTCATTCCAAAGCGCTTTCTAGTCCAGAGTCCTTCGGAAAAACCAGTGGCACAGGCCACAGCAGTCCCACACGTGCCCCTCCCTTCCCTTTGATGCCTGCTTTTTGCCATAAGGCTCCCTCTCCCTTAGTTTCATCCTGCCCAGGAGTCCCTGGGTTCCAAAGACTGTAAAAGACCTGTATTTTGGAGGAACTCCTCTTCCCCCAAAATAGTCACAAAAAGTGAGGACTAGTAATTTTCATTGAGTGAAAACAAAGGAGGAGCTTTTAAAAGCTCTGGTTATTTCTGTCTGTAATACCTCAAATTTGTGACACTGGTCTGGACGACCCCTGCTTAGGGAAGGGCATGAAAGCCGAGGGTTGTGCCAGCTGTACTCCTGTTGAGCCATCCAGGGCCCTACTGAAGTGGTACTGTTGGGGTGGCTCACCTTCCCTGCCAGCCAAGCTCCATCACTGTCTCAGCCTATGGGCTTTAACAAAACAGGGATCTCTAGACAGGTTACGATAGGCCCCCAAAAGAAGCAGTCCTGTTCACTTTTCCTAAACTACTCACGGTACTGAGCTATACAGAGTATGCTAGGAAACTGGATTCATTTAACACATGGGAAACAGCCCCAGAGACTTTCAGCCCAAGAATTGGCCTCCCCAGGCAGTAGGCTCATATGGACTCTACTAGACAGAAGAGCTGAGTTTGAATCTCAGCTGGTGTGATGCGAAAATGTGAAGCTTAGCAGAAATCTAAGACAGAGATACTAACACTTTCAGGGTTGTTTGTAGTGAGGACAGCACTCTGTCAGCCTTAAAGGGCAATCCCACTAGGAGTTATTATGAGCCAGGTCTCCTCCAGCTGTAAGGGTTCTTACTCCCTAGCCCTCAGCTAGGGGAAGGGCCA